ATCTGTTGGCAGAAAGAAACAGTGTGATATACAACTTCCGACACATTTTACTTAATCAAAAGCAACTCAGTGCATTGCAGATTAAGTCTTAATCACCTTACTTTGTACAAACAGTCATTCACTGCTACATGTAGTAAAATACTTCCAGACACGCTTCGATCAGGCCAAAAAGGTCTAGGCAGTCCTAAATGATAACAGTCGACTCTAGCTTCACATTTGTCGGCACAATTACATTGGCTTCACTTTATGTAGAAATGTTGCTGTCAGTTCTAACCACGTAAGCAAAAAGCCGCCAACCAGTGGCTGTGGCAGTAGGGCTCAAGCTTGCACACACAGTTACATACCGTAAAGCATTTTTGTCAGCCAGTCACAACTCGTTGTTGTCAGTCTGAGACTTTTTGAGAGTCAGGCAGATTTCAAAGTCGACCTCAGCAGGAGTTGGTTTAGGTGAAGGTGTGAAATGTGATTTTCTAGCCCATTAAAATAATAAAAATGCTAACATACAATCAAACCTCTACTCACACCTATGGGCACTTTTGTGCTCCAATCTATTTGACTTGTATAACTTTGAGTCTTTAAAAACATAAAGGAAATCTTGAAGAAAAACTACATGAGCACGGGCAATCCACATACAAAGGACCAGGACAAACCCAGTACCCTTTTTGTTGTGAAGCAATAGTACTTAAAGCTGAGCAGACCTCAAAACAAATTGCATTAAAACATTCACAAAGTTAGTGACATGCTGTCAACTATTTTAGCTTTTTGTTTTATTTTACAGTTTTACAGTTTTCTAGAGCCTCCTGTCTTCCAAAACAATGGCATAATCTTTGCTGGAGCTCAAATGTCATCTCAAATACATCTTACAGCTGCATATAGACAATGAAAAGTTATTATTTTAATGGCACACATGAGCAACTGTCTAAACAAAAGCATCTAATGCAGACAAACAGTGGGGATAGGTAGTAGTGTAGTGATTGTAGTGCACTGCATGTTCTTTTTTTATGCTTCTACAGTACATACACATTTCAGCATTTAACTGTTGCAATCCATGATCTGTAAAGTTCCTTTTTCTGCTTTCCGTCCTAATGCATGTACACAGTGTGCTCTCTGTGAGTAATGGGTTAAATGGTTTGATGTTCCAGAGGAGATGTGTTTAAATGACATCTCGTCTTTTTGAAAGTGGGTAGTAATTATTTGTGGTTTCCTGTCTGTAGTCCTGTAGAGTTTGATAGTTGTGTGTGAACTCTTGATGTCGGCCATTTGCATGCAAGGCTGGTTCCACTGCAGAGGAGAGGCCCGACGCTCTGATTGGTGCAGGAGTTGCTAGACAACAGATGTCCAGTCGGCTGGGAGGTGGACTACCTGTGGAGGAGGGAGAGAGTAGAGAGTGAGAGAGAAAGAAAGAAAAGTGGAGGTGTAAAATGACGGAGAGGGAGAGTGACGCTGTTATGGCAGATATTCACAGTATACAGAGAGGTACAGTACAGTGGAAAACACAGCCAACCTGACATGACTACCTTTGTATGTACCTTTTTAAAAGCAGTGTTTTCAGTGGTGTTTTAATTGCTTTATAGAGAAACAATTTTCTCAAAGTATTATTTTATTGTCCTGCTGCAGGCCTAAAACAGCAAAATTGGTAACTAGTAGTATACAAACATTTTATTTAAACTCACAAATATTCTGCTACAGATAAAAGCAACATATCAAAGCAACACATGAAGTTGTTTATTTATTTAGGATTATTTTATTGAAATGTGCTAATTGGTGCTATTAATTTTGCCAGTGACTGATATATGGTATTAGCAACAGAAAATCATTGATGATGATGTTCATGATATGTTAAACAAAGGAACTATCTTCCAGGAAATGCTCTAAATTGCATCCTGTCAAATTCATCTTTACATTGTATACTGTCTTGAGTTTAACCTTTTTATCAGTCTGTCCAGTGTTAAATCATCTTTGACTGGTGCACAGCTCCACATAATTCAAATGATTATATTTGAATAAGACCACATAAACTTTTATTTTATGGACCACAAGTAGTTTGCAATAAAGTGGAACCTTAAACTAACTGAATACTCAGCAGAATAACAATAAAAAAACAACTTCCAACAAGTTTAACTTCATCAAAAAATATTAAGAAACAAGGGGGAAAAGGAAGCAACTTAGTGTATTGGTGATTAACTCTTAATCAAATCAAGTGGCACCTTAAACCAATGAAGACTAAGTCATTCCCACTGGTTTAAATTTTTTTAATGGTGATCAACTTGTGTGTTTGGGAGCTATGACATTCAAAACCAACGGTTGGCTGAAAAACATAGCATTCATAATATTACAGCTGAATAAGAAAGTTACATTTCCTGCTTTATATAAATGTACAAGAATGCTCCGTTCTTGAAGACTGAAATACTTTTCAAACTTTCAAATACATTGTCAAAATATAATAATCACACATGGTATCTGATTGTTGAGTCGGTATCTCTATGAAAGATTATGTATGAATTAGGTAAACTATTATTTATACAATTTATAAAACAGTATGTGTGAAATGGAAAAAATCTGTAGTCTTTCCTCGCCAGCACATGCAGCACAACCACTGCAACAAAGTTACAGCATACAATCTGACATTAGTCTTAAAAAAGATTGATGTATATTGTATAACCAAAAACAAACATCTGAGTGACACAACGTGCTAGATTAAGAAAAGATGGGGTATCTTTTACCTTAGCAAAGGAAACACAGAGTTTGTGTGTTAGACTGAGAAGGAGGCTAAGAGATTATGTCATCCAGTAACATTGTAAGACTGAGGCAGAAATGGAGAGATTAGTGACCTTGCTCAGAGGGTCCTGCTAATTTGTGAAATAATGGCAGAGCTGCCCTTGTTTCTGGCTCTGCCTGTCAGAATGCCTGTATATCTCTCTGCTGTTGTTTTTGTCTCTAAGGTTGGCAGTATACTTCAAACTAAATCAAAATTGGCGTATCAAACAAAAGAACCACACATTGGGGTTGGTTTGCTGCATTGTGTGCAGGCCTCTTGTCAGAAGTTTTCACACCGTTTTCTTTCACAAACCCTGTAGCTTGTTTACACTGTCACGTGATTGATTGCACCCTCCTTGGCACCTTGGGAAATTCCAGTTTATCTGCTGCTATGCTGCTTTTTTTTTCATTCATTCATAGCATTGTGTCATTACTTGTCTGGGCCTGAATCAGCGCTGCACCCGTATTAGCACTGAGTTAGTAAGTTCATCATTTTGTGGCTGATTATTGTCTAGTTAATTTGATGAGTTGTGTTTTATACATGGATGGAGTGATGGGAAAGATTTTTATTGAAATGGTTCACTTGTTTTGGAAGGTCATCAAACTGACTGACACACATCTACCTCTTCATCCATGGTTTAGGGAGCAAACATACTATCTCTTTTTCAGTAACCAACTCTACCAGGGCAGGTTTTAAATCAACATGTTCCTCCTGTATTTTTTTTTAGCTTTAACTGTAGTGCAACCACAGCTCACCCTGAATTTGCTTTGCATGTCATTGTTGGGATTTCATTCTGGCTTCATCTTTTTCACTGCGACTGATAAACTCCACCCTCTGGTGTGGATGAACAGTCTTTCAGTCCCAGTGAACATACTGTACTGGCTTTTTTAACGAGCATTTGAGAGCACGCCAAGTTCCATTTTGTATAATTAAGTATACCGCAGCCCTAACTTTGACTGTGTGTCTGCCTGTCGCTTCCTATAGATGCACTACACCACCACAAACTAACAGAAACCTGTACCTATAATGGGAACAAACTCCCTGGTGTTCTTTGTCGGTCTTGCCTCTGACTCCACAGTTTCCATAGCATCAAGAAGAGCAGAGGAAGGAGACACGAATGAGAGTGAAAAATAGGCGTCCTATTTTATTTGGAAGAAAGTTTAACCTGCTGCTCCTCTTTCTCTCTCTCTCTCTATCTTGCTCTTGTGCATGTGTGTCTCGAGGTAAAGCTGAAATGGGTCACCTCAACACCATACTGCATCACTCATTATAACGACTGTTGCTCTGTCTCAGTTGTTCCGAATCAGAGTCACTGGACCTTGGTTTCTACTGACAGGGAGATTTGAGAGTCACCTCTTGTTTCACGTCAAGGCAGATAAAATCAGTCTGCTCTTATAGAGGGGAGATGTGAAATTCTCTCTGAGGGCTGCCATGTGACCAGCCAGTCTGTGGTCACATGGAAGTACACTAACCCTAATACATGTCTCCCTGAAGACTGTCAGCTCATGAAATTTCATAGTTTTCCTGTTGAACATGTTGTATTTGTGATTAAGTACTTAACAGCTGATTTGGAGTCTTCTCGATAGTAAAGTAAGCCTATTATACAGTATTTAAGTTAAATGTTGACTGTTACAAAAATGTATTAATACTTTGATATTGGTTTTAACCATTACTGCCCGGCGCTTGTGTTAGTTAGCAGGAAGAAAAACATAATGATCTAATACTTTGTAAAATTAAAAATAAAATTTGTATCCTTGCAATTTTATTTTGCTCTGAGGGCAGCAAAAGGAACCTGCAAGCACATTACAGGTGCTCATATTAAGCCCAACCCCGGAGGTCAATATGAATTGTGGCTGCTCACTCTGTTTGTTGCCTGTGTGTTTATGGCATATCACCAAGCACATATCAGGTCACATTATTTTCGTCCAGCAGTTCAGTTCTGATAAGGAAAAGAGCAGGCTAACACAAAGCCAATACACACACACACACACACACACACACACACACACACACACACACACACACACACGTGTGTGGATGTCAAGTACACAAACACACACTGATGCTGACAATGATGCCCAAACACTGCACTGTGTCCTCTACTAAGTCAAAACTAACTTGCAGCCAACTTCATGTTAGATGTTGTTCTGAGAGCCAATCATGGCAGGGAATAATAAAGAGCATTAAAAATAACCTGACTCTGTTTCACTCTGTGTTTGCGTCTCCTCTGTTTTTCTTTTAGATCATCAAAAGCTGGAGAGAGAGGCGAGGATTTGTCGTTTACTGAAGCACCCCAACATCGGTGAGCTGCGAGTCCTCGATCTGAAAATATGCACACACAACAACACATGCTGATACAAGCGAAACACACATATTTTGTTCAGGTCTCTGGTGAATCCTGCTATGGCTATTCATCTTCTTTCTAGACACGGTTATGAGGGTGAGAGCGAGAGAGAAACTGTGTGTGTGTGTGTGTGTGTGTGTATAGGGGTATCTAATGATGATGTATCTGTGTGCTCTCCCAGCTGAGTCATAAGAAAGACACAGAAGCTGTATACGGTCTCTCTTAACCACTGACCCTTTACTCTCTTTCCTCCTCATTATACCTCTAATAGAACCTGTCTCTCCTCTTTTGTCATCAGCTCAGACTCTTTCTTTTGTTCGCTGTCATTATTTCAGATTTCTTTAATCAGATCTGCACCACAGCTGTCATTCCAGTTAGTTTTCCAACAAAACTCTGCTCTTTTAAAGTTTGAGAATAACTATAATTGAATACTTTTATTCCCAGACTTTGAAATCTTCCAAAAACATATTGTAGGAATAAAAAGACAATATATGACATATTGGAGGTACTACAAAGAAATTATATGGGACAATTCTTTAGTACAGTAGCAGTTTCAGCACAGCAGCAAAGATCAAGGACCAAAGTGGAAGCACGTCAGAAAGTCTATTTTCTCATATTAAATATTTAAACGTTTGAATGGATTTAAAGAAAAGCATAAGCTCTCCAAAACAAAGTCAGAGTTTAACAATCAGCATTGACATGTTTGATCATATTTTTAGGCCACACATAGGATTTGATATAATATTTCTATGTTTCCTTATCCAAGTTGAGCTCCCAGATGTCAAAACAATGATGTACAAATCAACGGCCATTTGCCTAAATATCTGAATACTAGTTCTTTTAGTCGTAGTTGTTCTCAAAGGTTTAACCTAATCAAAAAAAGCTACTTTATTTACATGTAGTGCTTCACACTGCTCCTTTGCATATTACCACTGTATTTCCGACACACCTGACAACTAACAAGCTAACTCTGAGGCACAGCAGCACAAAAGAAAACATAAATAATGAGTATTGACAGTGTACGTCTTGAGATATTGACTGCTTTCTGTTTCATTGGACTTTTTCTGTCTCTTTTCCTTTTCTGTCCCTTGTTTTGTGTTTTTGTTAAATTTCCTCTACAGTACGACTCCATGACAGCATATCAGAAGAGGGTTTCCACTATCTGGTGTTTGATCTGTGAGTAACAGACTCTCACACACACATTCTCTGTCATTGTAACCACCCTACCAATTTCACATGTTTTGTCATTCCTTTCTAACTTATAATAACTTATAATATTTTCACAACTTAACACAGGGTATAGAAATGTCTTCTTATTGTTATGAAGCTGGGTTGGGTTGCAGTGGCTTTTTGTAAGTCCATTACAAAGTTTGTGTGTAAAGTCCTTCCCAAGTTCTTAATACCTACTAGCTACTTCAAACTGTAGACTGTATAAAACAAACTAGTAATTTCTAATCAAGGTTGCAACATATGATTTAGGATTGTCTTAGCTAATAAAGACTTTACTAATGTGTTTATCAGTTGCTAGGAAACATCTGTAACATTGTCCAATCAGAAGCAACCAGGAAGCCAATATTGCATCACATGCTTTAACATAACAACCAGAAATAACAGTTTTAGGGGGCTAAGTTATGTGTTAAACTTAACTGACAGTTTATAAGTAATTTTTGTTTACATATATATCATGTACATGAACAATATGTGTGTTTAAGAGCTAACTTTTAGTATTTATAGACTTTGGAGTAACTTACTGCATCCCATTGAGCTAACCTACCCGATGCTATTTAGCTAAGTTAGTCATTTAATCTGACATTATCAGCAAAAATGTTACCACGGAAAAGAAATTAATATCATTTAATATTGATAATGTCAAATCATTATTGCTTTCCAATTCTTTTCTTTGCTCCTGAGTGAAAGTTGAAGAAACCAGATAGTTTTAAACTATTTATCATGGTCAGAACATGGCAAATACTTGCCAAGTGGTGATCACTTAACAAATCTAAAGGTATAACATTCAAAGCAATTTCGACAATTATACATGAGTAAAATTAAATAAAATCTTTTTTCAGCCTCAACAAAATAAATGTCAATAGAAAAATTATTTTCTAATTTGTTCATGATTAAAATGAATTTAATCAAACATTTGTTGCCCATACAAACCATACACAAAAATCCAGAAACATGTGGAATCGTTTTCACATCTTTTTGCACATTTCCAGGCAAGCATACATTGCACACAAACACACATGTGAAACATTAATACATACAAGTACATGGCTTTTGCTAAGTGTTTATGGTTTATGGTCTAGGAAAACATGAGGCATGTGTACAGTTAAAAAACACTGAGTGATTGATACAGAAACATGCGCACTACAATGTCTTCTCTGTCTCTCCACAGGGTGACAGGAGGAGAGCTGTTCGAGGACATCGTAGCCAGGGAGTACTACAGTGAGGCTGATGCCAGGTAACACGCACCAAGCCCCATGCGGGTGTGTGCGCACACACACACACACACACACGCACACACTGCTGAGTGCAGCAGCCATTATGCATCTCTGTCTATTACTGGTGTGTATATTTTTGTGCTTCACATATGGTTGTCTCAGAGGTGGGATACAGCTGCCCTGTCTCTGAGGCATCTCAAAAAGTTATTTATAAAAGTGATTAACGGCATATAGCCTGTATTAATCATACACAGCATACCTTACACTGCCAGCTTTATGTTGAAACACTGCATCCCCAGAGAGAGAGAGAGAAAGAAAGGGAGAGATAGTGTATAGCAACTGCATGGTTTAAGTTTGTCTATATAGTGTAATAATAAATCACATGAAAAATGACCCTTCTTTCACTTGACTTAATATCATCCGTCAAGAAAACAGCATCATTCATAAGAAGTCTAATTTGAGGTACATATGATACATTGTTATGGGATTGTTTTCTCTTTTCTTACCCTCAATGATTCCCCAAATTGTCTTCTCTGCCTTTCTTCCTTGCTTTTCTGTCACTCCTTCCATTTGTTTCATCACAATCCTGTCCTTGTTCATTACTCTCCTGTCCTCAGCCACTGCATACAGCAGATCCTCGAGAGTGTCCACCACTGCCATGTTAATGGGATCGTCCACAGGGATCTGAAGGTTTGTTTGCATGTTTGGTCCTGACCCTGAACAACAGATGGCAACATTCAGAAAGACACAGCACCTCTCCCTCGCAGTCCTTACCCTTTGCATCTGCACACTTTTTTTTTAACAATCTGACGAAATAAACCTTAAAACAAAGATTGTTTTATCAAATGGGAGGTAATATACCATCATTAAGATTTGTTTATTTGTCACATTATTCCATTCTTCCTTATAGAGTCCCCTAAAAGCTTTGATCAATTAATAAAGCTGATTTGACCTTGACCTCAGCTTTGAAATTGGCTGCAATTCTGGTGTGCAGGAGTGACATTCAAATCCTCAAACTGCAGAGACTCAAAGCAGGGCTCTACAATCCGCCTTCCTATATTGTTACATTAGAATCTTGTTGAGTCGATATTCTGGGCTTAATACCCGTCTTGCCAATGTCAAGAATAAGGATCCTCCGCTAATACAACCCCGGATGTTGCAGAGAGCATGCTGCCCTCTTCGTGTGTGTGTGTGTGATGGTGGGTGGGGGTGGGGGTAGGGGTGGTGTAGTACTCTGAGTGTAGAGCTATGGTGACAGGAATAGGAGCAATCACAAGCCTGAACTTCAAGAATGATTATTTTCATAATTATGTAAAAAATTATGTTGAGATGTGAAAGATTTTCCAAGGTCATGAATATTCTAATGTTAGTCTGCATTCTCACAAACTCTCAAGACTTTTTATGTGGAGGAAAAAGGGAAGAGGATGGGTTGTGGATATAAAACTGTACCATCGGAAACACTGAGAAACAAATCTGAATAACCATGATGGTTTATGACATTTCCAATCTGTCGACTTTATTAGGGGAGATGTCCTTTGCTGACGTGATTTTAAGTTTTCAGATGCTTCATAATCAGGAGGATTTATTCATCGTTATGGAAATGATTATGCTGATGTGTTCAGTTGTCAGTTAGTGTCCTGTTGAGTTATATGTCTGCCATAAACTGACTGCTCACAGGCTGTCTGTGTTTATAATCTCTAAATGTTAGGAAATGTATTATTCATCAGAGAACACTGTCTAACTGGCCTTAGGTTAGCAAAGACCTTTCTGCACCTGTGTGTGTGTGTGTGTGTGTGTGTGTGTGTGTGTGTGTATGTGTGTACTCGCGTGTGCTTGCATATATTTATGATTGTGCTAAACTGTGTTAGTGTGTTTGTCATTACCCATATGTGGCTGAGTTGTTTGTTTTTACACCCACGTCTCCTGTTATACGATACCTCCCTCCTGTATCCTTCTCCCTGCAGTGTGCACTTTGTTCCCACTCATGGATATTAACAGTGGATTGGTGTTACTGTGGACAAGCATATTGTGTCTGCTACCAATTCACTCTCCCAAAATCCATGAGGTTGAGGGAACAAGTCCATAGCTCCAGTGTGGAAAATGTCCTTTGTCACGTAGAGATTTGGTCCCGTGCACATTTATGTTTCTGTCATTTGTGTGGCAGAAAGGGAATTGCCTTAGACACTGATTTAAGAGCAGTTTAGCATTGTAGACCCCTAATAGCTTGGATTAGGATTTGGTTTGGCTAATCTGATCTTAGATCTGTGTCTGTGGGCGGCTTGTTCCCAGAGCGTGTGACCTCTCACCTCTAACCTGTTTGACTCCGCCCCCCCCAGCCTGAGAACCTTCTATTGGCCAGTAAGCTGAAGGGGGCGGCGGTCAAGTTGGCTGACTTTGGGCTGGCTATCGAGGTGCAGGGGGACCAGCAGGCATGGTTTGGTGAGTATTCATCCATCCATTTTTCAACCTGAATCAGTTGGTCAATGAAGCAATCAACCAATCAGTTGATCAATCAATCACTCATTTAGTAAGTTGAGGAACAGCCCAGTCACTGAATTTTCCACTCCTGCCTACCCTTCCACATCTACTCCCTCCCTCCATATCACTCCTCCAGGTTTTGCCGGCACCCCGGGATACTTGTCTCCGGAAGTTCTGAGGAAAGACCCGTATGGGAAACCAGTGGACATGTGGGCCTGTGGTAAATAACATTAAAATTCTGTCACTTCAACTGTTTGAATGCACTTGATTTTGTTTGAGGTGTTTTGTGCAGTGTTAAATTAGTGAATTTAATTTTGTTAGGGAATAATATAGGTTAGTATAGAGTATTGGTATTTTCTGTTTACCATGCTTAATGTGTCATGTCTCTTTCTTCCAGGTGTGATTTTATACATCCTGCTGGTGGGCTACCCCCCCTTCTGGGATGAGGACCAGCATCGCCTTTACCAACAAATCAAGGCTGGGGCCTATGATGTAAGCATTCACACACGTACAGTATAAACTAGAGCTGCCATAAAAAAATTAAAAAAATCAAGTTCAAACAAATGAGAGCTCACATGTAATTTGTTTGAATTAATTAAAATGCAACCCACATAGTCTGGTCCTAAAATACATTCAAATCCGGAGAATTTATGTCATCCTGTTCTTTCACTGACACACAATTTGTTGTCATGGTAATGTTACCATTTTAAGACAGCCTTACCTTTATCTAACCATGGTGGCAAACCCAAAATGCTTTTACATATACTATTTCTCAGATGGTTCGGTGTTGAACGTTCAGCATGGCTCGCTTGTTTCTTCCAATATGAATTTTGAATTTGGACGGACCATTAAAGATTAAATATTACATTTTTTCCCCACTGCACCAATATACAAACATGCAATTTTCAATACACATTTTTACTATACTATAATACATTGTCAGTTCTCTCTATTCCTTTAGAGGATGGTTGTTTTACTAATTCTCTGTCTGTTCACTCCTTTGCCTTGCTAAAAATGAGCGTTTGACACTCGTTGTTTTTTGACAGTTCCCGTCCCCAGAGTGGGACACTGTAACTCCTGAGGCCAAAGATCTGATCAACAAGATGCTAACCATCAACCCCAGTAAACGCATCACTGCCGCAGAGGCCCTCAAACATCCCTGGATCTGCGTATGTGGCACACACACACACACACACACACACACACACACACACACACACACACACACACACAAACGGAGATGCAGCAACACACACAAACAGAAATACAGATACAAACACAGAAATAAACACACACATACAGTTAATGATGAACCATTATTGGTAAATGAATGCCCCAATAACATTAGTCATGCCATCAGATCCAACTTGCATGGACACACATAACTGTCCAGTTTCATTGCCAACACATGCACATCCATACATTCCTCCCATCTATTGTTTTCATTCTCTCCTAATCCTTAAATCCTCTCATCTTCTTCCTGCAGCAACGGTCCACTGTAGCTTCCATGATGCACAGGCAGGAGACTGTGGAGTGCCTGAAGAAATTCAATGCCAGGAGGAAACTCAAGGTGAGACGTTTGGCAATCCGTCATGTTTCTATTTATGTAGAACAATCCATCCAGCCATCTTTCTCCACCCCCCTCTCTGTCTTCCTCACTCAATACTTCTCAGGGTAACTTAGAAATGATGACTTGTTCTCTAAAACCTTCAAGTTGCCCTTTTGCTGTGCGCTTCTCTCTTGCGGTAACCTTATAATCAATCTTCCTATTTCTGTCTCTTCCTTCCTTCCACCATCATTACCTCTTTCCTTCCTTTTCTATCACTGCAGGGAGCCATATTGACCACTTTGCTGGTCACAAGAAACTTCTCAGGTATGTCTCCCTCAGCCTGGTTTCCAAAAGCTGGTTTCTCAAACATATCTTATAAACTAAAGCATTCATTTAAAAACAAAACAAAACAGGAGGCTGGAAATGCTTCTTAGCCTTTAATATTGGAGGTTTGGTTAGGTGCTTTATGGAACTTGTGTCTTCTAATCATGAGGACAACAGATCACAGGCACTACAAAGTAGGTAAAAATGTGCAGCCAACCAATAAAATGAATAGAAGCTTTTAAAATGATTTTTTAATGGCTTCAGTCAGTTTATGATCTAAGCGCAAAGGTGTCACTGGTAAACAGTCATCTCTCTGTCTATCTAGCTGTGTCACTTTATCTCTTTTTTTCTGCTTTGTCATACATTTTTGCATGCATTTCTTTTGACTTGTCTCTATTTTCTCAGGCCCTTACTAGCCTGCTTTCTCTCCCCATTCTACAGTAAAGTCTTTTATTCATAATTTTCTTCCTTTTTCAATTTTCTTTCCTTCTTTTGTTTGGATTGTGATTTCCTTTTGAGGTAAGATTTTTGAAATGACAGGAAAATATGTGGGGTTGGGCCCAACTCAATAGTTATTTATAGGTCTTACTCATCTAATAGCCAATTACATATGCATGAAGATGAGGTTTTTGGTATTCATAAGAACGATATTGAACCTCATGCTTGCGATAGTGCCAATATGAGATCAGAATAAAATTTAGACAAGGGTACAGCATGCATTTTGACATGCAATCTAGTGTTTGGATTATTTCTACACCATGAGAAATACAGTTGAATACAGGAGAATAGTGGTGGGGTTGTTTGTGTGGGCGCTAGTGGTTAAGTGCATGTGTATGTGTGCAAATGTCAATTTAAGAATGCTGTTTGAGTCTGTTGGCAATAGGTACATTATCCCTTTCATCACTCGCTAAATACACACCCAGTCAACCACCCACCCTTCAGCCCTGCACATGTGAATTTGTATGTAGTAGGAGAACAACCTTGCATAAATGACGATGACATTCTAAGCATCTGTTGCATTGCATTATGGATCTTGCAGTTGGATTTTGCACCTGGATTTTGAAGATAAGCACTGTCGACTGATATGCTTGCTGCATGTTAGTGCATAGCCGCAGGCTCAGTACTCTGTTTGGGAACTCTTATGCTGAAGTGTCCTTCTTTCCTTCTACAGCAGCCAAGAGTTTGCTCAACAAGAAGCAAGACGGCATTAAGGTGAGTTACTTTGCACTGTGAAGAAAATTCTTGTTACTTGCATTAGTCTGTTGAACGTTCAATGTCTGAGGAGCCTTCTGGATAATTATGCATTGTGCACTTAACAACATCATCATTCAGGGACAGTCACTCCAAGCAGTGGACAACGGTTGTTATTTTCTTAGCTTATTCACTGTGGTACTTGTCATACATTGATTTTATGCGAGTTACATTTCTAGTTTTATCATCCTTTTTTAAAACACTGGTCTATTTAGAATCTCTTCCCGGCTGTATTTTCTAAATACACCATGTCTCATATTTTTCATAGTCACTTAATCTTTACTGTATAGTCCCTGATTTCTCTGTGTGTTTGGGGCCCATTCTGAAATTACTACCTGATGTAGAAGTGTGTGTGCACGTGTGTGTGCATATCTGCACGCACATACTGTATGTGACTAACTAATTCTGTGAGCCTGTTTTACATAAAAGTAAGTGTTGATTTGAGATTGGACCTCTGCATACATTGTTTGAGTCAGTGTCACTGTGCTTACTCAGACCTACAGTATGTCAAGCTATGAGGTCCATTCCAGAGAGCTTATACCTCTTCCATGTGACCCCAGCCCAGCTTGAAAATGAAAGCAAGACATTAGAGTCAAAAATGAAGGGGTTTGTAGTGAGAGTTATACAGTATTTCGTAGGTTTTGTGAAAATGAAATGCAAAATATGCAAACTACCAGGGAACCCCTTCCTATGAATTGTTGAATCAAGATGAAATCCATTGCGCTGTATTGATTTCCTTTATTATAATTTACATACAATTTATTGTTAAATTTATTGTGTGTTAATTCAATTAAAATTACAGTCCTGCACATGTTATTGTATTTAGATTATTCAATTGTTATTTTTGTCCTTCACTTAATTGGTTGGCCCAATAGATATCTATATATCTATTCATATCATATAAATAGAAGCAGGAACAAAACGGCGACAAGACAAAGGAAGACCCATCCACTAACCTTATGTTACTTACTAACTGTCTAACTGTTATAAAGTGTTACATAAAGTGTACATGTAAGTTAGCTGTGTTCACATTGCTGAGCCTCCGGTGAAAGATGCACAGATAGTATGTTAGTTACTGAAAAGCAGCTAAATGCAGTCACTGTAACGTTATCATGTAACGAACATGGATTAGTTCAACCACAAGCAGCTGATAAAAATATTACTGGAACGTTGCAGTGGGAGTTTACCTGAGTTTCCAGCATGCTGTGTGAAGCTGTCTCCCTGTCTGTCTATAGCCGCTGTCACACTGCCTTTTCCCCCCCCGAGAGTATTGTGCCAATATGTGTCTGGCTGCACTCTATGAAAGGTACAGAGCCAGTGTTGAGCTGCCTCTTAGCCGGGAACTTGTCTGGAGAAAAGCCACTGTGGGCATGCCGGTGTTTCCGTGTTTATTGTGGGATTTCTGTATGAAAGCAGTTGTGTTTCGGATTATGCTCGCTCATGAGTTCAAGCTAGCATGCGTACGAGCACACACCGGGTTGCACCTTAAAACTGCACCTCTAGTGGCCGCTAAAAACTACATAATGGCCCTTTAAGTTGAACTTTCCTCGGTACATCTACTTTGCTGCCTTTAGTGTACTTTATAAAAATAGACAGATTTCATAAAGAAGTCTTGGTTGGAAACAATGTAACACTTGGCAACATCAGATCTTTGGGACACATGATTTGGCATGATCTCTTTAGAATGGACCGTGGCCAGAGTTTGTGTGTACATGCGTGTGCGTGTGTTTGAAAGTGTGTATGTGTATCATGTCCCCTCTACACTGCCCCCTGCAGGTCAACAACAAAGCCAACACAGTGACCAGTCCTAAAGACACTGGCCCTGCCCCTGCGCTGGTATACACACACAACCTTACCTACATCTGCACCTTCATCCACAAAACCTCGACACCTGCCCACCTCACGCCCCATTGTGGAGGTACAGGTACACCCTATCACAGAGGGTCAGATCATTTCCTGTTTGATCTCAGTATTGCTTGATAAGATTTAAATTATTAACCAGGTCAACATGGGGTGAAACAGATACTTAGCTCAACATTAGGCTATCCGTGTATGAAATAGTGGGAAAAAGTTTTTGTTGCTGCGCAGCATGTCCCAACTTGATATAGCTAACCAGCCAACCGTATTCTATTCATAATTCAGACTGATGTGTTCATTCATTCATCTGAATTGTCAGAGCGTGCATGGAGCATACAGAGGTTGGCCACTTTGGATTTGCTGGATCTGTATATTGCTAATGTTGGGCTGAAACAGTACACCTTTACACACGTGTTTAAATTTGGCTAGTGTAGTTTTAAATTTGTAGTTATGGGCAACCTTTACCTCCCCCCCCTTTCCTCTACAAGAACTTCCTCCTCTCTCCTTTCTCTTTACACACCTACACTTTGCATGTGCTCCTCTCATGACATGTACTTTAGTGCTATCAGGTTTGTATTTGATACTAAGATTCTTCACAAGGATGTCTAATTTAGGGTTTGCTGCTCATATAGTTTGTCTGTGCATGAATGGAGTGTGATGATGTTGGCTCCTTAGGCTCATTATGATGCTACATTCCCAAGTGATTTGGCTGTCACTCATTGGTTTGCGCATGGTGTCTGCTGATTAGCGGTCTACGTCAGGCCACATGACTGCTGCTCTGCATGATGTCAAAGGCTTTCTGTCCCCCCATTTGCTGTCAAAGATTACGCATGAACACAGGCACGACATCTCTCTCTCTCTGTCTCTCAATCCCTCTCTAGCCTCCTTTCTCTTTCCATCATCAACACACACACACACACACACACACACAAATACACACACACAGACACTCACAGATTCAGGCTGCTGATGTTATAATCTCCTGTAATCGGGGTGAGTGATTAGAAGGGCTAAGCCGGTCATCAGGATCGATTCCACAAAAGCCAAGACACAGAGATCTGATTACCAAGGAAGGACACTATCGAGGGCTGATGAGAGGGTTTATTTTGTATTTTCAGATACATTGTGATAAGTATCTGTGTTTATTTATATATATGTATGTATACACAGACAGAAAGATAGACAAAATAAGTGGTTGACCACCTTCTTAACCTTCAAATTTTGAAAATATATACCAACACATTTCCGTTAACAGTTTCTGTGCCATCATACCTTTTCTAGCCTTCTTTAGTTATTTCCTCCCATAAGTTCTCTCTCGTTTGTTCTCTTTAGGAACCACAGACAACAGTGATCCACAACCCGGTGGATGGAAATAAGGTATTACAACAACACCAGGATTTGTCATTGTTAGTTGCATTTATTAATATAAACACTGTTCGCTCCTGTTTAGGGCTTTCCCTTTCACAATGACAATTAATAACAATGGTATCATGTATCTCCCTCCACCAACTGTAAAAAGCCCTTATCTTGTACTGTTATATAACCAACTGTTAATAAATAAATATGTTCATCAGGGCATCCTGGTGGCGTGGTTTAAGACCCTAACGATATATTCACAACATCACTGATGTACCTCCCTCCTCTTGTTTCTGGTCAGCTATAGTGCAACAAAGAAATTAATTAAGAAGAAATGTCCCCACATTAGCCTACTTGTTGAGCAAAATCATTTTAAACTTTTTTCAATACATTGATATTTCAAACATAAATTGTACTATGTCATTATAGATATATGTATTACATACACAAAATCTCTAGATTGTCATTCTTTGTCAGGAGTCCATTGAGAGTGCCAACACCACCATAGAGGATGAGGATGTAAAAGGTAGGGAAACTTGTGTTTTTGTCTGATTTACCTACTTAGAGTTCTCACCTACACTGTGAGGTTACAACAGTCGGTCCTCACCGTTTCCAATTGGACTGATCACTCCTTTTGTATGTTTTGTCTTCATTCTGTTTTGCAACACAGTTAAGATGTACTGCAAGTTATCAACTTCAACCCCCCTTTTGGCTGTCAGCTCTTCTTACAAAATGCAGTCCGCCCTGTTCTTTTTCTGTCCTATACTGCCTCCCTCGCATCCTCAAGTTTCTCCCATCTTATGTCTGAGGTTGATGCTGAAATTGGTTAACAATGCTTGCTTTTTCAGTTTGTTTGTTTTTTTCCATACATTTTCATGATTTCAGTATTAATAAGTGGTTCTCCTTTCTACTTTTTCCCCCCTCCCCTATATTTTGTTTTGTTGAAAATATAATTTCTTCCACCATAATTGCCTCTGCCCATATATATGTACTCCTCAAACAACCTTTGTCTTTGTTAACACCCCCCACCCAACACACACACTTGACACCCAATTACACACCCATCCATGCAACCTTTGACAGCCCTTCATCTGGGCAGCTTAGTGAGAGGTATCTTGAGCTCTAAGAACCGTTCCTCACAGATGTCTGACTCAAGACAGACTCCTATCTCTTCAGTTCATAGTAAGTCTGACTCAAGACAGACTTCCACCTCCTCAGGTCAGAATAAGTTCCTCTGCAGTGGGGAAGATGCCCTGTCTGTTGCCCTCCTGTTACCCAGTCCTCACCAGAGGAAAGTGATCTCTCTGTGTAAAGTGTCCCTTGTTCCTAATAATTTCCTTGGCTTAGATAACTGGGTGTTTGTCACAGTGGTTTGAGTTATTGGTACCCCTAAATATCTGCTCCTTCCATGCAATTTATTCTTCTGTATTTGAAATGAAGAAGATGCCTCCTGCTGTATATTTGTGTCTTGTAGGTACAGATGTTCTTCTCACTCCTCTATTTGCCTTCTGTTGTGACTTACCCAGACATTGACTCACACAGTAAAAAGCTAACTCACATACACACTCATGTACACACACAGTGTTGTAACTTATAGTTGTGGTGCTAAAACACTGCTTTATATATTTATTTACTATTTAACATGTGTTTTTGTCGCACAAATTAAGTAATTTTTCAATATCCCCCAGCCTGCACCACTAACAATAAAGGTAACTGCTTTTGTAGCAAATACTTGCATCTGAGCATTGGTTTGTCTTTGTTCATTTTGAGCTTTGTTGGGTGAAAGGAATCGTGTCATCCTGCATTTTCCTGCCTGATATCACTATTAGTCATGGGAGGCTATCTTGTTGTTGTTACTCAGATATAAAATAACAAACATTTTGTGAAATACTTATTTTGAGCGCCTTCCATTTCTAATAACCTGAAAATCCTGCTAATTCATAGACTAGAAACCCATTTGAAGCTGATTTGATGTTAGATTTCCTTTATCTGCACCCAGACCTACATTTGCCTGAAATACATTAACAGCATTTTTAGATCAGTTTCTGTGGTGGTTGATGTTTTGTGATCTTGTGTTGTAGCTCGCAAACAGGAAATTATTAAAGTCACTGAGCAGTTGATTGAGTCTATCAACAATGGAGACTTCGAGGCCTATGCGTATGTTTTTCTCTCTCTGCATTTGTTCAGTAACATTTAACTGCCTATACTGATTAGCTTCCTGGCTTTGCTGATTTGGTATTCTTCTTTTTGCATCAACAGGAAGATTTGTGACCCTGGTCTAACTTCCTTTGAGCCTGAGGCCCTGGGAAACCTGGTTGAAGGGCATGACTTCCATCGCTTTTACTTTGAGAATGGTGAGTTCAAAAAACTGCCAAAAAACTAACAGCATCATCAGAGCAGTTATATAGGTTGAAATTGTCAATTTTTTACTAAATAATTAAATAGCTAATTACACTAGAGTAGCAAAAGAATCATCCAGTTGACAGGGAATTTGTCACCATGTGAAATGTGAAGTACTGTAGTTGTGGGTTTGGGGTTGCTCCAAAAGTTGCAAGAATCCAGCTGGCTCCAATTCCGAACTTGGCACTGAAAGTTTATTACTTCCTTGGAAGGATTGTGAGTTGTTTATTCCCATCAGTTTAGGTTTTTCCAGCAGTTCTAGGTATTTTAAACAAAGATTACTTGTGTGAGTTGTTTGCTCTTAACCATTGTGGGAAAAGCTTGATTTTCAGTTAGGAGAACTTTTTATTGTGGAATGTCCTGTTAAACAGTTCATTGCCATTGCAAAAATTACATATGAGACAATAATTGTAACCATATTAGTATGAAGTATGGCCACTGAAAAAAATGTATTCGCTGAAGTCAGCGTGCATGTGGAGGCTAGTCAAGCTGATCCGTTGATGGGAAGTAGGTGTGCAGGAGATAACCTAATGAGTAGTTTACTGAGATGGTCACACAGGGTGTATATCACCCACAATGCATTTCAGTTATGCATTTGGTGCAATAAAATACATCCATGGTCAGGTGGCAGTAATGTACATAAAACTTGTGTTTGCTATTTAGTTAGTTAGTTTAAGAATAGTTTCAATAAAATATCAAGCTATCCTTTTACTGACGAATTTCATATAACTAACTGAAGTTAATATGTACTTGGATTGTTGTACTGTTTGCTTGTGATTTCTTTATTCCCAACTTTAACTGTAAATGCTTGGAAAAACTGCTGTTTTGCAAGATATCATAAACCTGTTGCAGTTAGGACAATCATGATACAGATCACAAACAGAAATTTGTAATTCAGAAACTGATGCAATTATTGGCAGAAGACACCTTTGCCTCATTGAAATGAGTCTTCAGGTGTTGATGATTTGTAAAAAGCAGAATAGCTTTAAGCCTGATTAAGGCTGATTCTCCCAGATTGTGTACCATTAAAATTCCCTACTCCTCCCTTGGCGACTTTCCCTCTCCTCTCCAAGTAGCCTCCATATGACGTATGCAATTGAGTAATACCAGGGGCTGAGAGGAAGTGAATGCGGGGAAGTAGAACTGCTGAAAGCATGCACAGACAGAGACAAAATATTCAATTAAATTCAATTTTATTTATATATAGCTCCAAATCACAACAACAGTTATCTCTGAGCGCTTTTCATAAAAGAGCAGGTCTAGACCGTACTCTGTGATGATATTTACAGAAACCCAACAGTTCCCACCAAGAGCAAGCACTAGGCGAAAGAGGCAAGGAAAAACTTCCTTTTAAGAGGCAGAAACCTCGAGCAGAATCATGGCTCAGGGTGGGCGGCCATCTGCCTCAACGGAAGGAGAGAGAGAGGGGAGGGACGCAGCCTACACAATATACACACAGAGGTACAGACAGTAAAGGTGATGTTGCTATAGACCGAATGAATAATGGTACAGATATTTACAGTAGTGTTAATGATAATAATCGTAATGTTACATAATTACAATAATAACAATAGGACTAGTAACAATAATTGCAGCAGAGGGTGTCGAGCAGGAACACAGGGGCAGAAGGTGACTCGCAACCACAGATACAGACTCCACAGCTCCAGAGCCAGAAACACCTGCAGGAAGTGATAGGAGGAGAGAGGAGAGGGACAAGAAAGCACAAGACTACGGGAAAGGGGAGGAGTCGAGTTAGTAACATGCATTAATGGGATGAGGTTGCATAGAGAGGGAGAGGGAGAAGACGAGAGAGGAGCTCAGTGCATCATGGGAAATTCCCCGGCAGTCTAGGCCTATAGCAGCATAACTAAGGGATGGTTCAGGACTCACCTGAGCCAGCCCTAACTATAAGCTTTATCAAAGTGGAAAGTCTTAAGCCTACTCTTAAATGTGGAGATGGTTTCTGCCTCCTGAACCCAAACTGGAACCTGGTTCCACAGGAGAGGAGCTTGATAGCTGAACACTCTGGCTCCCATTTTACTTTTGGAGACTCTAGGAACCACAAGTAACCCTGCATTCTGGGAGCGCAGTGCTCTGGTGGGGTAGTAAGGTACTATGAGCTCTTTAAGATAAGATGGTGCCTGACCATTAAGAGCTTTGTAGGAGAGAAGAAGGATTTTAAATTCTATTCGAGATTTTACAGGAAGCCAATGCAGAGAAGCGTAGACAGGAGAAATGTGATCTCTTTTCCTGGTTCCTGTCAGAACACGTGCTGCAGCATTCTGGATCAGCTGAAGAGTCTTAATGGACTTTTTCGAGCAGCCTGATAATAAGGAATTGCAGTAATCCAGCCTCGAAGTAACAAATGCATGGACTAGTTTTTCTGCATCATTTTTAGACAGGATGTTCCTGACTTTTGCAATATTACGTAGGTAAAAAAAGGCGGTCCTTGAAATTTGCTTAATGTGAGACTTAAACGACATGTCCTGATCAAAGATAACTCCAAGATTCCTCACGGTGGTGCTGGAGGCCAGGGCGATGCCATCAAGGGAAACTTCTTTAGATAATGCATCACGGAGGTGCTTGGGCCCTAGAACAATAACTTTTATCTGAGTTTAACATTAGAAAATTACAGGTCATCCAGGTTTTAACATCCTGAAGGCACATATGAAGTTTAGCTAACTGATGAGTTTCATCTGGCTTGATCGATAGATATAACTGAGTATCATCTGCATAACAATGAAAGTTTATGGAGTGTTTCCTGATAATATTGCCTAAAGGAAGCATATATAAAGTGAAGAGGACTGGTCCGAGCACAGATCCTTGTGGAACTCCATGACTAACTTTGGCATGCATGGAGAATTCATCATTAACATGTACAAACTGAAATCGATCTGATAAATAGGACTTAAACCAGCTTAGAATGGTTCCTTTAATGCCAATGAAATGTTCCAGTCTCTGTAATAGGATATGATGGTCAGTGGTATCAAATGCAGCACTAAGAGCTAATAAAACCAGTACAGAGACAAGTCCTTTGTCTGATGCAAGGAGGAGGTCATTAGTAATTTTCACCAGTGCTGTCTCTGTGCTATGATGAACTCTAAATCCTGACTGAAAATCCTCAAATAAACTATTGCTATGTAGAAAGTCACACAGCTGTTTAGCAACTACTTTCTCCAGGATCTTAGAGAGAAATGGAAGGTTATAGGTCTATAGTTGGCTAAAACATCTGGATCAAGTTTGGGCTTTTTCAGAAGAGGTTTAATTACAGCTACTTTAAAGTACTGTGGTACATAGCCTGTTGATAAAGATAGACTGATAATATCTAGTATAGAAGTTCTGACTAAGGGTAAAACTTCTTTAAGCAGCCTAGTTGGGATGGGGTCTAAGAGGCAGGTTGATGGTTTAGATGAGGAATTTATTGAAGTTAGTTGGTAAAGATTGAGGGAAGCAAAGCAGTCTAAACATATATCTGGTTTTACAGCCGTTTCAAAGGTTCCTGAGTTTGGAGATAAGTCGGTGCCAGTTGAGGGCAGGTCTTGGTGAATTTTGTTTCTAATAGTTAGAATTTTATCATTAAAGAAGCTCATGAAGTCGCAACTACTGAGAGCTATGGGAATACTTGGCTCAATAGAGCAGTGACTCTCTGTCAGCCTGGCTACAGTGCTGAAAAGAAACCTGGGGTTGTTGCTATTTTCCTCTATTAATGACGAGTAGTACGCTGCTCTGGCATTACAGAGGGCCGTCCTATAAGTTTTAAGACTATCTTTACAAATTAAACGAGAATTTTCCAGTTTGGTGGAACGCCAATTCCTCTCAAGTTTCCGCGATATTTGCTTTAATTTGCGAGTTTCAGTATTATACCATGGAGCTAACCGTCTTTGTTTTATTATTTTCTTTTTTAGAGGGGCAACAGAGTGGAGTGTCATTCGCAGCGAGCCTGCAGCACTATCAACAAGATGATCGACTTGTGAGGGACTGAAATTAGCATAGGAGTCCTCCGTTACTTTGTGATTTGATAATGAATTTAGAGCTGATGGAATCGCATCCTTAAATTTTGCTACAGCACTTTCAGACAGACATCTTGTATAGAAATTCTTGCCCAATGGCGTATAGTTCAGCAATACAAACTCAAAAGTTATCAAACAGTGGTCAGATAAAAAGGGATTCTGTGGGAACACTATTAAATGTTCAATTTCAATACCATATACCAGAACAAGGTCGAGGGTGTGGTTAAAACAGTGAGTCGGTTCATGAACACTCTGAGAGAAGCCAATGGAATCTAACAGAGAGATAAATGCAGTACTGAAGCTGTCCACATGAATATTAAAATCCCCTACAATAATAACTTTGCCCGTTTTAAGGACTAAAGTTGACAAAAACTCTGCAAATTCAGATAAGAATTCAGAGTACGGACCAGGTGCTCGGTACACTATAACAAAAAGAATTGGTTGCAGTGATTTACAACTTGGGTGTGAAAGATTAAGAACAAGGCTTTCAAATGAGTTATAGTTTGGTTTAGGTTTAGAGCTGATTAGTAGGCTAGAGTCGAAGATAGCTGCAACTCCACCTCCTCGGCCTGTGCCTCGAGGAATGTGAGTATTAATGACTGGGAGGGGTGGATTCATTTAACATATTCTCCATCACCCAACCAGGTTTCAGTAAGACAAAATAAATCAATATCATAATCTGATATTAGTTAATTTACTAGTACACCTTTAGAAGAGAGAGATCTGATGTTTAAGAGTCCACATTTAATTTTCCTATTTGTTTGCACTATTGCTCTTGTGGTTTTAATTTTACCAAAAAATACCAACGTTTCTGCACAGAAATGTGTAGAATTGCTTCAAATTCATTGGTTGAAACAATATATACAATATAGACATATACAATATAGAAATAATGTATACTGATATCAATATTTTGAAAACAAAGAAGGTCCGCAACACAGCAAAAGTGGTATTGAGTATATTGTTTGTACGAAAGAGTGTGTGCATTTGTGGGTATGGGCTACATTTTTTGTTCTATTTCAGTATTTAGTCAGTTTACAGTTCATGTTTAAATTACAAGGTCATGGCTGTGATTATGGACTAACCTTGGAGAAAAAAAATCACTAATGAATAATGACTTCTATAAATGGCAGAATGTCCTCAGTCTGGGTAAAAATAGATAAACCAGATATGTCCTAGAAACCTCAATCACTTGGCAAACCTGTGCTTGTCCACTATCCAACGTAAACATATGGAGACTTTTAGTTCCACTTATTTTCGGTTAGAATTCCTTCTAAGGTAGGGTCAGTGTTATGTCAGTGATGCAGCTCTTTTTCCAAACCATCCTCACCCAGCAGTGTGGTGAGTGATAGGATGATATCTATTATATTCATTTAATATGCGATACTAAGCAACAACTGCTCCCTGTAATCAGCCATTTTGTCTCCCTTCCAGCCCTGTCCAAAGGGAATAAGCCGGTGCACACCATCCTCTTGAACCCACATGTGCACCTAATTGGGGAAAATGCAGCGTGTATTGCCTATATTCGACTGACCCAGTACATGGATGGCAGTGGACTGCCCCGTACCATGCAGTCTGAGGAGACCCGTGTGTGGCACCGCCGTGACGGCAAGTGGCAGAACATCCACTTCCACCGCTCCGGCTCGCCTAGCATCCCCTCCCAGTAAGAGACAGTAAGAAACCTTGGTTAAAGAGAAAGAAATAAACCAAACAGGAGCTGAATATCTTATTTTTGCTCACCTCCAGTGGTCAAACTTCTTACTTTGCTACAGTGACGTACGTGTGCTTCTGGGTGTGGTCAGCACTATGTGGCAACACTGTTGGGTGTGGTAACAGGTGCGACCAGAGCCAAGGTCTGATTAGGCAAAATAATTGAAAAAACCTGTGTGGGTGAACCATAGGCATGTAAGGACTACGCCCAGCAAGTATTGCCAGTGAGCCAGCATGCACAATAGTATTGTGACAGGGCCTTTTAATGTTATTAATCACACTTTGCTTTCCCAGCTCTTACATGTCCTAATCATGTCCTAATAAAAAAATTATCTGATGTACTGATCTGATGATGTCTTTATGCAGTAAAAATTTTCTTTGCTCTGTGTACCCTTTCAGTATACATTTACATTTATATTTCTCTCTTTTGTTGCAGTTAATGGAAAATCAACATGTGGTCAAAAAATGGAAGTCAACTAGCCAACCCATGACTGCTCTCCAACCTTTGACCCTTCTATAAGGACATGACATCGCACAGCTCACAAGTATTAATACATTTTACTGTTACGGCATTTTATTAATGGACATCATTCGAAACCACCACCACAACAGGTGGCCGCACACAGTGGACATTATGAAACAAGCATATTGACAACATTTGTTTTTTTTTTTGTTTTTTTTAAAGATGTTTTGGTATGCATTTTAAATATAAAATAGACGTTTAAAAAATCTACTACTGTAACCTCTCCCAAAAATTTGTTCTGTATTTTTATGTGTATTTATGTGTGTGCAATACTAAAACATTTGGAAGGTCAGAATGTTAAAATTGAGCTTGCTTTAGTTCTGGTGATGTATATACATTGTGATTGTTGATTAAAAAAACAAAAACAAACATTGAAATTGCTATTCTTGCTATCAGAGGAATTAAGAGTTTACGTAAAATCAGAGTTTGAGCTACATTTATGTTTGCTATGAGCTAAGTCATACCGTTTGAATTGTCCGATTTCAATCTATAATACTAATTTAAATGTAAAGAAAAGCAGAGCAGCTTACACTTTGCATTGAGATATGTTTGCCTTTATATCAGTGAAATAAGAGAATGTAGCATATATGTAATATATGAAAATTCAAGACTATTGTGTAGTGCATGGGGGGGGGTATTGTAAGTAAGATCATATGAAACTATAATATCTTCTGTTTGATTTGTGAATCACTGACTTGTTTGCATTTGTTAATGTTGTGCATCAGTCCTGTCCCAAATGTTTATAATGTTCTCCAGTATCATGGAACTGTTGTAAAAACAATAACACAATTATAGTTAACACCAGGCGTAAATATCAAAACCTCATATCTAAGAACAGGACAGTAAACTCCTGGTTATTGAAGCAACCCTTACTTTTTGTATAAAAATGAGAAGAAAACTAGCTCATTTTTCACAATATTTGTACTTGTATTGTATGACTGTATGTAGGGTTTCTATTATTTTATTCTTGTCATTTGCATTGTGTTACTTGGCCAATTGCACAGAGAAGGTGGAGATGATGAAGATGAATCAAAGGCATTATAGTCTGTAAGTGTTGGGCTACGTCTAAGTCTGGAGGCGTCGTAAAAGCATTGGATTGGAGAACATTGCAGTCAGACAAGAGGATAGTAAGACAACAGTGAAGGAGTCAAATGAGATGTCTTCCTTGATGATCAGTGCTTCTACCAGCCAGTGGTCTTCTTACCACTGCAGGACAGTGCCAGTGTCTTTATCATCCTTGCTATTTGCTCTTTTCAATTGGTTTGTCTCTTCTTTTTTATGGGGGAAAATATGATAAACATATTTTCTTTTTTTGACGAAACGTATGATGTCAATGCAATGCACCACTCCTAATATGGTGTGTACCTGTTGCCAGCATGGCAATGGATGGTTTAACATGTTTAAGGAATAAATAAATCAGCTAAAAGATGTGATGAAGAATGAGTTATGCATTGCTGGTTGATCATTGTTGCCCAAGTGTGGAGATGGAGGAAAGCTGTGTGTTAGACATGAAATTAATTATTTGAAATATTTCTTTTTGATCTTTGCTCTGTTCTAATACTCTCTTTGGATATGCAGACATGATATATTAGTCCAAGTTTAGTCCAAGAGTTTGTAGGCGCTGTCATGCAAATTAAACTTCAATTAAACCACTTTAAACCAGAGGTTTGAGTCCCTTCGAGTAAAATGGTAAGCATAATACAAAGTGAGTAACCATAAGAAATCTAAATCAAGTCAATATTGTGTTACCACCCTTTGCCTTCAAAACAGCAACATAAAACACAGGTCTCGAATGTTGTGAATACTAAGCTAGTGTTGCCCCCATAAGGGCCTCAGAGGTACTGCAATAGTGGAGGAATCTTACAGCATATATTAACATCATGACATTTAATATAGAAATGTGACAGAAATTTCATCCTTATTGAATGGTTGACACTGCTGTCTTGGAATTAAATATATTGCGATATATTTGGTCTTTTAATGCTTTAGAATTGTAAAACTGCTAAATATAAACAAAGTATTACATTTTATTATTAATTCTGTCATATTTCTATCTAATTTCATACTGATGTTAACTGCTGAGATGCTATTGCAGTACCTCTGAGGCCCTTATGGGGACAGTACAAGATCTGCTTTGTACTCTACCTGCTGTAAGAGCAACAATTAGTTGATTAAAGATTAAAAACATTCACTGTGTGTTATGTAGGTCTTTTTACATATGTTTGATACATTTCTAGTTTTGCTAGTGTAATGTAACACAGCTGGTATTGTATTCCTAGGTTTGAGTGACTATTCACAAGGTATAACAAAATACAACGCTATACATTTGTAGACTTTTATTCTCTATTAGCCATAGACACACTGCAGCCATTGTTTTTGTCTTTTTTGAATTTTGATACAGTAATACATGCCCTTATAGATATATATATATATATATATATATGCATTGTATATGTATATAACTGTCATCACAGAAAAGGATGCTGATTCTTCAAATTAAAAGCATACCTGTCACAGTGAACTTCCACTAGTTTGCATTTTACATTTTTCTAAATCACAAAGTAAACCGTGATAGTGAAATAAATACATTACATGTTGTAGATACATAGAGTAACGATGCTTAGAGCTGTGAGAAATGGCATATTTAAGCTCTCAATCTGCCTCATTATGCGTGTCTGGTATAACGCTATCTTGTATTTATCATCTAGCCCGCCAAAATGAGACTCTCTGTAGATATACTGTATCTCATATCCTGTGCACAAAAAAAGCATGGAGGTGTTCCCTCCTGACATTCAGGAGTGCAAATGTGGTTTGTGTAAAATAAATGTTTCTTTTCTTTGCTGACAGAAACTGGCACACACTTACTACACTCACAGACTCATTCACTCAAACACACACCATACGACTGCAAACACCTGGTCCAACACTGTCTTGTTCAAAAGATGAAATAACAAAGTCTAACATAAATAAAGCAGAAACACCTGATCACCTTACCACACATTTCATATCAGACATAAGTGTCTCTAAAGCAGCTGTGATGATCTTGTTCACCAGTGGCAATTTCTGAGGGCCTTCCTAATAAATAGAAGCTTCTCACTCACATTAAAATTAAATTTGTTCTTTATACTAACTAGTAAACTAAAATCAAAATAAAAAAACCCCTCTAAAATAAGACATCTTAGCAGTTAAAATCAGCCTAAAATCGTACCCTCTTTAAACAAGCTGATAATGCAGTACTCAACACATGCATAGACACACAGTACCTACAGTACAACCTCACAAACACATTAACCATTCATACAGCATGAATCAAGATCAACAATTAAAAAAAGCAACCCCCCCCCCCCAAAAAAAAAACTAACTACACATAAAAACACAGAAAGACACACACAGAAGGGAAAGAGAGGCAGGAGAGCAATTCATAGATCTACAAAGCAGTCAAAGCTAGGATCATAATGACAGATGTTGATTAGTCATGCCTGCTCTATACTTCACATAAGTGATTATTAATTCCTAGGCTACTGATGTCAGTAATGTCTAGATTATAGATAATATATAATTCCCAAAGACAGATTACACATAGCCTACACAAAACACAGCAGCAGCAGTTAAATTCAGTGTCGATACAGTCTGGTTTTCTCTGTGTGACATCTTGACCACCTGAATTGAAAGAGCTGAGAGGCTAGTACAATGAGTGAGACAGTTTATAAGTAAGGAATATCTAAGAAACTCTGGTTGTGAGAGGCAGTGCAGTGTGAGATATTGTCTTTCAGTTCAAGCACCTACTCAGAGAGCAGTACCAGTATGTCTGCAGGTAAAGTGTTCTTTACCTTCAGGAGGTTTGTATGTTAGTTGATAGTAATAGTATCCCTCTGTTTTTTGTGTATGTTGCTCTACCACAGCATCAAGACAAAAATATCAAAGACAGTTATGACATGGAAAGTAAAATGAATCAGGAAAATAACAGAAGGCTTTCTTTGGTCACAAAAAGGCAAAACAACACCCAAACATGAAAAGAAAATCATGAATACATTAGAAGCCAGGGAAAACTCCAAATTGTGAACAAAAGGTAATCTTCCAGGACTTAAGTGGGAAGACTGTGGTAGCTTTGATGTGCCATGGTGCACACTGGGATTGCATGTGGCTAATGCATAGGATTAGGGGGGCTTTAGTATGGGCAGAACCAGGGAGTGGGGGAGAGTGTTACACATTCCTCTACTCTTCCTTGTCCTCTTCGTCCTCATCGTTGTCCTCCTTTTCTTCGTAGTAGTAGCGGTGAAAGAGCTGGTGGAGATGCTGCTGGAGACCACGTGGCTTTGACCCTTTTCTGGGGTTTTCCACTTTCTCTAGAAGGACCTGTTTGCGCTGCCCAGCTCCCTTTACCACTGTTCGTCTGAGGGTGTGTCCTTTACGCATGTGGGCCCTAAAGATGGAGCAAGGAGGTAGTGGAAACAAACACAAGAAGACAGGTCAGCAACCTTAATGAACCTGTGATAATTAAATTGAAGGAACTAATGTGCTATACTTCTAAGATATGTTATGGGAGGGAAACAAAACACCCACAAATTATATCATGCTTAAATCCAGCAGTCAGTTGTGATCACAGGTCCAGCATCTTCATATCGTTCTAGCAGCACAAAACCTAAAGATTATGTTAGAAATTACATATAAACTGACCCCAACAACTAAAAAATGGGTCATAATTTCAAGAAAAAAAACAACATAAAGTGTCTTTTGAGGCAGTGGTTCTCAAACTTTTCCACGTGAAGGACCCCTAAACTGATTTGATAAGATTTTATCCCAGGATCGCCAATCTGATTTGGCTTGTAGACGTTTTATTCCAGAAAATGTATGAAATCCATGACATTCAGTCACTATCTTACTTATGGATGGAATTATAGTGAAAATTAATGATTCTAAAACTAGGATGCAAGCTGCAAAATTGTTCCACAAAATGGTGTGATAATGATAATTCCAACTGCATGCACGGGACAACAATGGGCAACCAGTTTTATTCTTCACAATTAAAAATAGCACCGCAGATATTTTATTTGGTAAATGTTATCTAAATTGACAAAATTACAAACACATACATATCTAATCAGATTCATTGTATGTTATCTCTTTTTGAGTGATTACGAATACAAAAACGTTACAACATGCTACACTGAAAAAAATTATAAACGCAACACTTTTATTTTTGCACCCATTCATCATGGGCTGAACTCAAAAGATCAAAGACTTTCTGTATGTACACAAAAGGCCCATTTCTCTCAAATATTCTTCACAAATCTGTCAAAATCTGTGTTAGTGAGCACTTCTCCTTTGCCGAGATAATCCATCCACCTCACAGGTGTGGCATATCAAGATGCTGATCAGACAGCATGGGTATTGCACAGGTGTGCCTTAGGCTGGCCACAAAGGCCACTTGAAAATGTGCAGTTCCATCACACAGCACAATGCCACAGATGTCGCAAATTTTGAGGGAACGTGCAATTGGCATTCTGAGTGCAGGAATGTTCACCAGAGCTGTTGCCCGTGAATTGACTGTTAATTTCTCTACTATAAACTGTCTCCAAAGGAGTTTCTTAGAATTTGGCAGTACATCCAACCGGCGTCACCACCTGTAACCACACCAGCCCAGGATCTACACATCCAGCATCTTCACCTCCAAGATCATCTGAGACCAACCACCCGGACAGCTGCTACAACAATCGGTTTGCATAACCAAAGAATTTCTGCACAAACTGTCAGGAACCGTCTCAGAGAGGAGTGGACCACAATAAACAACCTGATCAACTCTATGCGAAGGAGATGTGTTGCAGTGCGTGAGGCAAATGGTGGTCACACCAGATACTGACTGGTTTCCGGACCCCTCCGGACCACCCAAGACAGTGAAACTGCACCTTATCAAGTGGCCTTGTATTGTGGCGAGCCTAAGGCTGTAAGTAAGTCTTACATCTTTGAGTTTAGCTCATGATGAATGGGGGCAAAAACAAAAGTGGTGCGTTTACAATTTTGTTCAGTGTACTTGATTAAAAGGTTTATGATTATGATGATGCAACATTCACAAACGTTAGTCAATATTAGTAAAACTAATAAACCTACACCAGGGCTGTTTTTGTAAGAAATCACATTCAAGTATATAATACAATACAAGTAGTCATACACACACACACACACACACACACACACACTCAAACCAATGCACTCCCGCACTCACAGACCTCCTGACCACAGTTCCATCTTCTTTGACAATCTCTCTTTCTACCACTTGAGGGAGCGCTGTTCTGTTAAAACCACTTATATAACCTAGTGCCTAGTGGCATGAAAAGAAGAAAACAGTATTCACTTCATTTGGAATTACTTAATTAGGCAGCCCACTGGACAGCACTAGCCTCACAGCAAGAAGGTCCTGGGTTCGAACCTCAACTATGAGGAGTGCATGTTCTCCCAGGTTTGTGTGGGTTTCCCGCGGGTGCCCCCCCCACACACACTGTCAGTGCCCTTGACCAAGGCACTGGCTTAGAATTAGAGTTCCTAATACTTAGGATGGGTTAAATGCAGAGAAGAATTTCACTAGACATTGTACTGTGTATGTAATTTCATAACTATGAAAACAAAAACTGGGAACTTGGTACCTACTCATCAGCACATTACATAATGTTGCTACTTTCCAAGAAATGTAGTTGAGCAACAATATGTTGACAATCTTGTGCTGCTATCATCATATAAATATATTTATATATTTTTCAATTTTCTAAAAACTAAAAGCCATATATACATACAGTGTATTAGGTACCAAATTTGGGTTAGGGAATAATGGTGACAAGGCTATTAACAAACCTGTTTGAAGTCGTCTTGGGCTGAGGGGAGGTCAGAGGCCAAAAACGAATCACCCTGGTGTGTCATTGTCCTTTCACCCTCCACCACCGCTGTCCTTTCTACGCGACTGACCTTATAACCTTTGGCTGTCTCCTGCTTTGATGCTGTGAAACCCTCACATTCAGTAAATGTGACCTGGGTCGGAAGAAAAAGTAATTATTTTGTTATTTAAAGCTGGGGTAGGCAACTTGGAGAAACTAAGAAGAGACATCTAGCTTTTGAAAGTATCCAACTGAAAAAATCCCACCCCTTCCCTTCAGGCCTCCCTCCAAAGCCACTCCTCCAAAACATATTTTCATGTGCATGGGCAGAGTGCGCATTGGTAGGCAGGTAGACTGCACTTATTATATACCTATGACAATGACAGATACTGGATTTCTTTAGTTTTTGTGTCAGAACATTTGAGTTATTATTTCAACAAATATAAAAAAAAATATACATCTCAAATAAAATGCCTACCTTAGCTGTCATTTTTCTTTATATACCACTACCAGTATAAATGCTGGCACATCTGGTATTTTCTGTCAAAAAGAGACTTTGAAGGCTATGGTAATGAACACACACATAAGATACAGTACACACACACATCCACACACACCTCTGTGTGGTCTCCCTCACTCTTCACTACAGTCCGCTTCACTGCCTTGGAGCATCTATCTCCCTTTGCCATACTGATGGACCCCTGGGGAACTCCTTCTAATGACACGTCTTCATGCTCCACACCATCCGTGGAAACACACTTGCGAATAATTTTACGGGTAACCTGAGGAAGAACATGTGTTCAAAGACCAGAAGGTGGTGGAACTTTTTGTTTAAAGAAAAAGGTAACCAAACACATACTTTGTTGCAAACTGAATGAAATGGAGCAACAGTGCAACAAAGAGGCATTGGTATTGCAATCATAAATTTGCTTGGCTAAGCTTTACTGGCTGTTGGCCATGTGATGTGTGTATGAGAGCTTATATAGAATCTTGCTTTACCTTTTTGACAACAATGTGTCCATTTTCATCTTTGTACTTTTCTTCCATCACTGACTGAGTGGGGATGTTGGGCATTTCATCAGCCTGTAAGGTAAACAAGACAAACAATAATCAGGAATACTAACTTGGGTAAGCGTAATGTTTACGTGTTTAATTCTCTACTTCAAACATATGCAACACAAATGCATGTTAGAGAAAAAATAGGATACAAACATTTTAGGTAGTAAATCAGTGAGAGAATAGGGACTTTGGGATACAGGAAACAAACTTGCATTTTCAAGGAAAAAGGTTAGGTTGTCAAATTAAACCAACAAAGAAGTGCTCACAGCAGCTTAAAACACCTCCAGACAAGGGTCAGCCATCTATGCAAATCAAGTGACGGGTTTGTTAAAAAACCCAAATGAATCGCAAAACACAAAGTTTTCATCCACTGTAATAAAACTTAAGGTTGTTAGACAGTAAACATTTTAACTTGACAGTGAAGACTACCCTGGTTAAAACTGCACTCCCACATCCTCCATGCTCATCCAACACACTGTCAATCACGCTAAATCGGATACCTGAATGATAACTCTCCTTCGCACTATTCTGGTGGTCAAAAAATCATCATCTGAACTTTCTGACATTGATCCAAGCTCTGCGGTGATCTCCTGACCAAGCAACACAACACCATTAAGATTCAATGAGTGGCAATATATGAATGCTATGTTTTCAGCAAAGCAAGCAATAAGCAGAGTGAAATGGTGCACTTTCCATTGATTTGGAGTATTTTACAATGAGTTTTCATATCTTATATTGGAAAGTGCAACATGGCAGTCAGAAACTATGAAAATATGTTTGCAAAACATACCATGCTCTTTGTTAAAGAATGAATGTGATTATTACTGATGAAAAAACAAACATGTAACTTATGTTATTACTGTGAGTGATACAGCTGGTTACAGGCAGCAAAGTGACATGCTGAGTTAGGACTGGTTAAATTTGAAATCAAAACAAAGTAAGGGTTATAAGGAGTTTTAGATCCCATCCATGTGGCCAGAGGGTTAGCAGTCATTCCTCTCTGAAGCAAATATAGTGATTGGTTAAGCTCAGCTCTGGGAAAAGCTTGCAGGTTGGGTTGGTTTACCAAATCTCATCTTACCCTTGCCAGATATTTATCAGTATCATCATATGCCCCAGTTTCACAGACAGGAGGCGGCTGTGAAGCCCCACAAAGGGTGAATTCTTCGGATGCATCTGAATATTGTGATAATTCTTCATTCTCTTCCCGTACATTATGAAGAGGTTTGACAAAAGGAGCATCCTCATAATCTTCACTTCCAGAGGACAACAGGACCTTTTGATTCAGTCTTTCTAGCACTCGAGGATAACTGAGCTGATCGTGGGGCTGATCTCCACTTAACCTAGTGCTTGACTCAGGTTCATCAGGCTCAGTCTCTGAGAAATCTGATGCAGCCTGTTTGCAGTCAAAGTAAGCCTCTGGGTCAGAGTATTCAAAGGTTGGGCTGTCTGCACCACTATTCACAACATCTGCATATTCTGGAGGCATGTGGATATAAATGGTTGCGGTAGAAGATATATCTGCATACCCAGGTGGGATGCTGTACTCTTCATCAGAGGTTGAAGAAGTCACCTCTGCTTTAGGTTTAACTGAAGTGGGCTGAGAGGCAAAACACTCAGAGTCTACTGGAGTCAGAGATTGTTCTGAATGCTGTCCACTGGTCCTTGGCCTATCCTCATCTGAGGATGTCTCCAAGTTCCATGGGGAGGGGAACGCCATCAGTTCCTCAAAGCAAAAATGTCTTGCAGACCTAACTGTCTCAGGAGTCAAATCAGAAAGAGACTGAGAAAATAAATCTTCACTCTGAGTGACAGAAGTTGCCTCCCATAAATCCGGAAATTGATTTTGGCTACTCTGTGTTGATATTTCCACGGTCACACCCCTTGAGTCATTAGATGATCGAAGTTTTTCTTGATTTTGAAGTATATCAGTTGTAGAATCTTCCTCACGAATATTAGCCAGATGTTCCTCAGGTATGTCAGACTGACTCTTTGCAACTACTTTGGGGAAAGACACTGAAGAAAATGTCTCAGCAGCATTTTCATCATATTTGCTGGTCTGGAATATGTCCAAAGGAAACTTTGAATTCAGTGTTGATTCCATCACTTCACAACATCTTTGGTGAAATTCTGGAATTGAAAGGGACTCAGTAGGGGATCCAGGACTATCATTACAGCAACCAAGGCTTGGTGGTACACTTGTCTCAGAAGTTTGTGTTAGATCAGTAGTGACTGATACAACTTCAGGTTCATCTTGAATGGATGTCTGGCAATGTGAAGGTTCTGTGAGTGCTACATTTGTGTAATTCATGTCTTCTGCAAGCTGTATACCAGATGACGTGCTGACTCTTAGGCTATCACTATATTCTAAAGGGCATTGATCTTCAGGTGATAGGTCTTCAAACTGATGGATTTGATCATCTTCAGGGCTTTCATCACTGGATTCTGACAGAGGTAGGTAAAGTGTCTCTGGTCTAAACTTAAGTTTCATCTCCTCCAGATCTGAAAGCAGCTGGTCAAGCTGAGGGGACCCAGACCCTGATGGTGTTGGAGTGGAGATTTGGTCATCTGGACTGTCTTTAGCTGTTTGGCAGTGCGGTTCTGGGGTCATTGAGCTTTGTTTAGCTAAGTCACAATGTTCACTTTGTTTGGGTAATGACAGCTTTTCATCTTTTTCCTGTGGTGAGCTTCTTTTATTGGTCAATGTGATTTCAGATTGTGTTTTACTTAAGTCAAAGGTACTTGGAATTGCTAATTCTAGTTTTTCAGTGGAAAGTGTGTTTGAATCAAGTGCCAAGGATGATGTCTCGGTTGGAAAGACCTGACTCCCTCCTAAATTATTATTTTTTTGTTTTGAAGATTCTGAAAGATCTGTCTCGGAAGTTGCTGTTGATACCTGCAAGAAATGATACAATGGAGTGGGAAAAGATTGTAAACAAATATGATTGATGGTGATTTGGTCATGAAAAGAAGAGTTAAATGAAGCATGCATTTGTCAAGGACAGACTATGGTTTTATAACTATATCAAATAATGAAATTCACTTTCATTGAGGCTGCATTGAGGTCATTGCAGTAGTATTTTATAGATGTTATTTAAATAAATAAGAAATTAATAAATTAAACAGACCATATACAATTTAAAATGCATTACATACATGTAATGACTGATTAAGATGTTGCAAAGTTAAGATATTTCTGAAGAATTATTGATAATAGCATGTTTGGAGACACTGAGAACGTCACTGACACAATATAATTTTACAATAGTAAAAAGCAGGGCACAAATGAACTTTAATCAAAATCAGGATTTGGTGTAACATGAAGGTGGATATGCGTGATTTTACACTCATTTCAAATAAATGGTTGCCACCCTTTCATAACATAAGGGCAGGAAGCAGTGCACTTCCCATGAAAATGCCCTAACCACAAGTTTACAGTATTTGTCACAGTCAAACACTACTGCTGTATGTTCTGTTGCCAGTCTGATTCACTTACTGCTTCACCAACATAATTCAACATTTTGAAAAGCATATTGAAGTATTTATTGGTGAAAAGGATAAGCAACTACACCACGTATAAATAATACACAATCAACCAGTGGTGTTGTGTCCGCTGCATGGACATTTGAGATGGCAGAATGTGGGAGAAAGGCGGCAGTAGTGGGAGGCAATGTCTAGTTACAGACATGCAATTATGTCATCACATTTAATTTTGCAACTGAAATTAAGTCTAAATTGAGCTATGGCTTCCACTAGGGCATTGTCATGGAGACATTAGTTTTAATGTTTGTTATGAAAACAGTGGGAGCCTGTTCCTTACAAGCACGAAAGCAAACAGAACAGACAGTACATGCCCCTAGCTGTGGCAAGTATATTGGTTGGTTTAGATTTCTGTGGCTGATAAACAAAAACACTATTTATTGGAACAACAGTAGATTGTAATCTTAGAAATAAAGAAAACATATGGCACCTAGTTAAGATTTAATGAAGGCACTTGAATCTCACTAGGCTTGAAGCAGTAAAGTCAGGCAGTCTGGTATCAACAAGTCCATTGGTTAGCTCTTTATTTATGTAGCTTATGAGAACATCCCATTCAAGGACAAGAAGCTCATGTCACTAAGATATGGTCACTCTGTAATTTCCATTAGTTGTGCTTCACTAAAAGATCATTTCTTCAGCTCTAATGCAAACATGCCACAACAAGACAGTGAAGCCTCTGGGTGTTATTAGTGAAAGCTTCAGGCACGATTTCAACATTCATACTTTATTTATGTTATTTATTTATTTAATTGCCAAGTTTATTACTTTTGAAAGCAACACTGCATTCACTGCTGAGCAAAAGCTTGTGCTGTCTTACCGACACCAAGGGACTTTTGCTCCAGTCCTCGCTCATGGATTTTCTTTTCATGTTCTTGGCAAATGAATCTGGGGCGTGTGTCATCTTTAATTGAGATTCAGGGTTTGTCCATTTATGTTCATACACATGTGGTCTTTGTTTCAATGATTCTCTCTTTGCTTGAGTTTGTTCATGGAAAGCCTCCTCCAGCCAGACAGCATGATGACATTCAAATTTTTGTTCCACAGATGGCATGTGACTCAACTTGGTGCAAAACTGGCTAATACTGTGTGGTCCGCCTAGATCTAGTCTAGGTTCTTTGCTGTCCAGGGAGGAGGCCTGGCAAAAAAAGACTGGTCATTTGTGTTTGAGGAAGGAGCTGTGCGTTCTGTCTCAGCTGTTCCAGTTGGTGGTATCACCATTTCAGGATGTGAATCTGGAACTGTAAAATCAAGTACTGTAGAGTCGGATAGTGAGGAATCCTGCAATGGTTTGGAGTCTGGTATGAAGCTTTCAAAATGACAAGATTTGGGTGAGCTATGTGGTTCTCCCATGCTGACTAAATCTTCACATTTGTTTTGGTCACAAGCCTTCTCAGACCATTTATAACCTGCATCTTCAAAGAAATGAACCTCATCACAGACATGTGATGACACAAGTCTGTTGTCTGTGGTAACAGGCTCATCTGGGACACTTTTCCCACATGGCAACTGGTTTAGACCTTCATCTAAATCTCCTATTGATTCAGAAATTTGAGGGGCAGATGGTGTTAACTCAGACAGCCAGTAGTCAAGGAATGATTGTGTGTACTCATTATCTAACGGCATATTGCTCAAGGACTCATGAAATTCACTGTCAAACACGATGGACTCTGGAGAATCTGGTCTGATCTCATCACAAAAACTGTCAAGACATGAATCAGTAAAATTTTTCTCCAGCATAATGTAGTCTGCTGAAACAGATCTGTTTTCTGACAAATGCATGTAATAATAAGGTTGACAGTCGAATTGGGAAATTTGTGAGTCAGGAGAGAGGGCAGTGAACTTATCAAATGAGGCAAATGATTCTGGAGAAGGTGGCCTCTGGTCAGTGAATGAGCAGGTTGAATATAAATTATTTCCATCATCTGGATGTAATATTTCAGATGATGGTAGTCTATACTCTGAAAGTGAATGACTCTTATTAAATTCACTTTCCACAGCCTGTGGTCCTGTAAATCTTGATTCAGACCATGATAAGCCAGAATTGCTTTGACACGGTGGTGAAACAGAACCAAGGATCACAGCACTACTACCAGTGGCTATTAAGTCATACTGTTTTTGTGGTGGCCTGACCATGCAAGGGTCATCAAGGGTACAGTCAAAAAATTGTAATTTATGACAAGAACATTTTCCCTTATACATTTCATCATACAAATGTGACATAAGGTTTTTAAGGACAGTCTTGTATATTTTCCTGGGTTCCTTAGTAGATATTGTAGAGTCTGATGACATGGATTCATAGGTAACAAGTTTGAGCTCGGTCAGTTGTTTCTGTGACTCGTGTACTGAAGTAGAGCCATTGGCAGATAATGATTTCATATCAGAGAAAAAGTGGTCTGACAATATAAGAGGACTTGATGGACAACATGGTCGAGATGCACTTACAGTTAAGCTTGTCTGTTTAACGTCGTACTGTGAAGTAAGTGAATCTGGAGAATCTGGTCTGTTGTCAAACTCAGAAGACACCGATTCTGGGGACAACGCCCTGCTATCCAATATCTTATCAACACCAATGTCTGATAAAACTGACTGTGGGGATTCTGGTCTGGGCTCATTAAACAGGGTTTCCAGACACAAATCAGTACCTTCCCAGTCAGAAGATATTGATTCTGGTGTAAACGACCTGTTCCTTGAACATTCCACATCGTAACCAACATGGGGAGATCTGAACTGAGGAACAGGGGAGTCAGGAGAGAGGGGCCTAAGTTCGCATTGAGACGTCACTGACTCGGGAGATTGTGGTCTCAACTCCGTCACCTGATTGTCCATGGAGGAGTAAGTGCACTCCTTGTTTGAGGGAACTAAGGGAGGGCAAAGAGTTGTTAACTCAAATGATTTGATGTCCAAAAAAGCATCTGCATGTTCGTGATGTGTAATGCCACGCACAACATCTGCATATGTAAGCGGTCTTGCAGCAGAAAGCGTTGGCGACACAATCACAGTTTTGTGTGTGTGTTCAGCATTGAAGTGTGAAGGAAGTGAATCTGGAGAATCTGGTCTGTTGTTCTCAAACAATTCCTCAGGACAAAATCCAGGATAATCATCATCTGACAGTAATGAAAGAGGTGATACTGGTCTACTTTCAGAGTAACGTAAGTAGTAGTTACAATGCTGACTCTTCATTTGGCCATATGTCATGTGAGGGGACAAAGAGCGCTGCTCAAATGAAGCAACAGATTCTGGGGAGGACACTCGAAAATCCTCTAACCAGTCGGGCAGGAGAGAAAAGTCAAAATCTGAAGACACCGATTCTGGGGACAACGCCCTGCTATCCAATATCTTATCAACACCAAAGTCTGATAAAAATGACTGTGGGGATTCTGGTCTGGGCTCATTAAACAGGGTTTCCAGACACAAATCAGTACCTTCCCAGTCAGAAGATATTGATTCTGGTGTAAAAGACCTGTGCCTTGAACATTCCACATCGTAACCAACATGGGGAGATCTGAACTGAGGAACAGGGGAGTCAGGAGAGAGGGGCCTAAGTTCGCATTGAGACGTCACTGACTCGGGAGATTGTGGTCTCAACTCCGCCACCCGATTGTCCATGGAGGAGTAAGTGCACTCCTTGTTTGAGGGAACTGATGGAGGGCAAAGAGTTGTTAACTCAAATGATTTGATGTCCAAAAAAGCATCTGCATGTTCGTGATGTGTAATGCCACGCACAACATCTGCATATGTAAGCGGTCTTGCAGCAGAAAGCGTTGGCGACACAATCACAGTTTTGTGTGTGTGTTCAGCATTGAAGTGTGAAGGAAGTGAATCTGGAGAATCTGGTCTGTTGTTCTCAAACAATTCCTCAGGACAAAATCCAGGATAATCATCTGACAGTAATGAAAGAGGTGATACTGGTCTACTTTCAGAGTAACGTAAGTAGTAGTTACAATGCTGACTCTTCATTTGGCCAAATGTCATGTGAGGAGACAAAGAGCGCTGCTCAAATGAAGCAACAGATTCTGGGGAGGACACTCGAAAATCCTCTAACCAGTCGGGCAGGAGAGAAAAGTCAAAATCAGAAGACACCGATTCTGGGGACAACGCCCTGCTATCCAATATCTTATCAACACCAATGTCTGATAAAACTGACTGTGGGGATTCTGGTCTGGGCTCATTAAACAGGGTTTCCAGACACAAATCAGTACCTTCCCAGTCAGAAGATATTGATTCTGGTGTAAACGACCTGTGCCTTGAACATTCCACATCGTAACCAACATGGGGAGATCTGAACTGAGGAACAGGGGAGTCAGGAGAGAGGGGCCTAAGTTCGCATTGAGACGTCACTGACTCGGGAGATTGTGGTCTCAACTCCGTCACCCGATTGTCCATGGAGGAGTAAGTGCACTCCTTGTTTAAGGGAACTGATGGAGGGCAAAGAGTTGTTAACACAAATGATTTGATGTCCAAAAAAGCATCTGCATGTTCGTGATGTGTAATGCCACGCACAACATCTGCATATGTAAGCGGTCTAGCAGCAGAAAGCGTTGGCGACACAATCACAGTTTTGTGTGTGTGTTCAGCATTGAAGTGTGAAGGAAGTGAATCTGGAGAATCTGGTCTGTTGTTCTCAAACAATTCCTCAGGACAAAATCCAGGATAATCATCATCTGACAGTAATGAAAGAGGTGATACTGGTCTACTTTCAGAGTAACGTAAGTAGTAGTTACAATGCTGACTCTTCATTTGGCCAAATGTCATGTGAGGAGACAAAGAGCGCTGCTCAAATGAAGCAACAGATTCTGGGGAGGACACTCGAAAATCCTCTAACCAGTCGGGCAGGAGAGAAAAGTCAAAATCAGAAGACACCGATTCTGGGGACAACGCCCTGCTATCCAATATCTTATCAACACCAATGTCTGATAAAACTGACTGTGGGGATTCTGGTCTGGGCTCATTAAACAGGGTTTCCAGACACAAATCAGTACCTTCCCAGTCAGAAGATATTGATTCTGGTGTAAACGACCTGTGCCTTGAACATTCCACATCGTAACCAACATGGGGAGATCTGAACTGAGGAACAGGGGAGTCAGGAGAGAGGGGCCTAAGTTCGCATTGAGACGTCACTGACTCGGGAGATTGTGGTCTCAACTCCGTCACCCGATTGTCCATGGAGGAGTAAGTGCACTCCTTGTTTAAGGGAACTGATGGAGGGCAAAGAGTTGTTAACACAAATGATTTGATGTCCAAAAAAGCATCTGCATGTTCGTGATGTGTAATGCCACGCACAACATCTGCATATGTAAGCGGTCTAGCAGCAGAAAGCGTTGGCGACACAATCACAGTTTTGTGTGTGTGTTCAGCATTGAAGTGTGAAGGAAGTGAATCTGGAGAATCTGGTCTGTTGTTCTCAAACAATTCCTCAGGACAAAATCCAGGATAATCATCATCTGACAGTAATGAAAGAGGTGATACTGGTCTACTTTCAGAGTAACGTAAGTAGTAGTTACAATGCTGACTCTTCATTTGGTCATATGTCATGTGAGGGACAAAGAGCGCTCCTCAAATGAAGCAACAGATTCTGGGGAGGACACTCGAAAATCCTCTAACCAGTCGGGCAGGAGAGAAAAGTCAAAATCTGAAGACACCGATTCTGGGGACAACGCCCTGCTATCCAATATCTTATCAACACCAAAGTCTGATAAAACTGACTGTGGGGATTCTGGTCTGGGCTCATTAAACAGGGTTTCCAGACACAAATCAGTACCTTCCCAGTCAGAAGATATTGATTCTGGTGTAAACGACCTGTGCCTTGAACATTCCACATCGTAACCAACATGGGGAGATCTGAACTGAGGAACAGGGGAGTCAGGAGAGAGGGGCCTAAGTTCGCATTGAGACGTCACTGACTCGGGAGATTGTGGTCTCAACTCCGCCACCCGATTGTCCATGGAGGAGTAAGTGCACTCCTTGTTTGAGGGAACTGATGGAGGGCAAAGAGTTGTTAACTCAAATGATTTGATGTCCAAAAAAGCATCTGCATGTTCGTGATGTGTAATGCCACGCACAACATCTGCATATGTAAGCGGTCTTGCAGCAGAAAGCGTTGGCGACACAATCATAGTTTTGTGTGTGTGTTCAGCATTGAAGTGTGAAGGAAGTGAATCTGGAGAATCTGGTCTGTTGTTCTCAAACAATTCCTCAGGACAAAATCCAGGATAATCATCTGACAGTAATGAAAGAGGTGATACTGGTCTACTTTCAGAGTAACGTAAGTAGTAGTTACAATGCTGACTCTTCATTTGGCCAAATGTCATGTGAGGAGACAAAGAGCGCTGCTCAAATGAAGCAACAGATTCTGGGGAGGACGCTCGAAAATCCTCTAACCAGTCGGGCAGGAGAGAAAAGTCAAAATCAGAAGACACCGATTCTGGGGACAACGCCCTGCTATCCAATATCTTATCAACACCAAAGTCTGATAAAACTGACTGTGGGGATTCTGGTCTGGGCTCATTAAACAGGGTTTCCAGACACAAATCAGTACCTTCCCAGTCAGAAGATATTGATTCTGGTGTAAACGACCTGTGCCTTGAACATTCCACATCGTAACCAACATGGGGAGATCTGAACTGAGGAACAGGGGAGTCAGGAGAGAGGGGCCTAAGTTCGCATTGAGACGTCACTGACTCGGGAGATTGTGGTCTCAACTCCGTCACCCGATTGTCCATGGAGGAGTAAGTGCACTCCTTGTTTAAGGGAACTGATGGAGGGCAAAGAGTTGTTAACTCAAATGATTTGATGTCCAAAAAAGCATCTGCATGTTCGTGATGTGTAATGCCACGCACAACATCTGCATATGTAAGCGGTCTTGCAGCAGAAAGCGTTGGCGACACAGTCACAGTTTTGTGTGTGTGTTCAGCATTGAAGTGTGAAGGAAGTGAATCTGGAGAATCTGGTCTGTTGTTCTCAAACAATTCCTCAGGACAAAATCCAGGATAATCATCATCTGACAGTAATGAAAGAGGTGATACTGATCTACTTTCAGAGTAACGTAAGTAGTAGTTACAATGCTGACTCTTCATTTGGCCATATGTCATGTGAGGAGACAAAGAGCGCTGCTCAAATGAAGCAACAGATTCTAGGGAGGACACTCGAAAATCCTCTAACCAGTCGGGCAGGAGAGAAAAGTCAAAATCTGAAGACACCGATTCTGGGGACAACGCCCTGCTATCCAATATCTTATCAACACCAAAGTCTGATAAAAATGACTGTGGGGATTCTGGTCTGGGCTCATTAAACAGGGTTTCCGGACACAAATCAGTACCTTCCCAGTCAGAAGATATTGATTCTGGTGTAAACGACCTGTGCCTTGAACATTCCACATCGTAACCAACATGGGGAGATCTGAACTGAGGAACAGGGGAGTCAGGAGAGAGGGGCCTAAGTTCGCATTGAGACGTCACTGACTCGGGAGATTGTGGTCTCAACTCCGTCACCTGATTGTCCATGGAGGAGTAAGTGCACTCCTTGTTTAAGGGAACTGATGGAGGGCAAAGAGTTGTTAACACAAATGATTTGATGTCCAAAAAAGCATCTGCATGTTCGTGATGTGTAATGCCATGCACAACATCTGCATATGTAAGCGGTCTTGCAGCAGAAAGCGTTGGCGACACAGTCACAGTTTTGTGTGTGTGTTCAGCATTGAAGTGTGAAGGAAGTGAATCTGGAGAATCTGGTCTGTTGTTCTCAAACAATTCCTCAGGACAAAATCCAGGATAATCATCATCTGACAGTAATGAAAGAGGTGATACTGGTCTACTTTCAGAGTAACGTAAGTAGTAGTTACAATGCTGACTCTTCATTTGGCCAAATGTCATGTGAGGAGAGGAAGAGCGAAGCTCTACTGACACAATAGATTGTGGGGAGGATGGTCTGAAGCCTGTCAAAAATGCTGACTCTGGAGAATCCTGTCTTGGTTCATTTATTATGTTTTCAGGGCCCATATTATTATATAATTGTCCAAAGCATTCATCTGGCACATTGGACTGTGGCAACAATAAGTTCCTTCCATCTTTCAACAGTGTATAATTGTAGTCTGTTGTTGCAGTTTTAAGTAAGGACTCATCTGTATTTGATGTTGGAAACTCTAAAATGTATTTTGGTCTGTCCAACAAGTTAAAGATCATTGGTTTGGGTGATCGTAGTTGGTCCAACATAGTTTCATTAGATTGTTTGCGATATTCAATATTCAAGTTTCTTTTGTATGATTCTTTCACAAAATACAAATTCATGGACTCTTTATTGTGGTTTGAAGTGTTTTTCCTAATGTTTGTTAAATTACTGTCTGACTTATCTGGTAATGGCATGTCTGTAGAAGCTTGCGGTATCAAATTCAAAAACCAGTAATCAAGGAAAGATTGACTACTTTCCTTCTCTGGTTTTGGAGCATCAGGTGACAGCGGTCTGTACCGAAATGACTTTGTTGTTGTATTTGAACAGCCTGAATCTGCAGTATGGATACTTTTGACATATTCATGTGTAAGACATTTTGCAGTTGAAACAGTCGCAAAAAGAGGTTCCCGTTTTTCAGCTTTTACATTCCATGTCAGTAATTCTGGTGTATCTGTGCTTTTTTCATCCCATCTTTCATGAAGAGGTGATGAAGGAGCCGTCATAGAAAGTTGCAAATAATCATGTTTTATATGCTTGTACTGTGAAACTGACAAATCTGGTAGGAGATAACCATTTGATGTGAGTGATTCCTCGGGGAGAGGAGGATCATGATCTGAAGCTACCAATTCTGGTGTCAATGGGCTACGCTGACCCACTTCCCCACCACAGACTGTAGTGTAAGGAGCTGATCTCAGTAGCTGTGTGGAGGGTGGATCTCCTCCTGGGTATAGTAAATAATAATCACAATACTGACTCATAAGTTGGGCACGGATAGATTCTGAGAGCAAGAGTTCAAGAAATGAAAAACTGCACTGAGAAGCCTGAGATTCCGGTGAGGATGGTCTGCAATCCCTATCTGCAGATCCATATGCATTGACAGAGGTCACTGAGTCAGGTGAAGATGCTCTTCTATCAGGAGGAACATATTCAAGCATAAACTTATCACACTCAATATCTGATGCCACAGGAGAGAATGCACTGAACTCTCCCTTTATCTGTGAACCTTCAGGTATAGGTGGACTATATTTAGGTACTTGAGAGGCAGATGACATTGGCCTACACTCAGATGAAAGGGAGTGTGAAATTACAGCAGTGGAAAAATCTTTCCAACTTTTTAACAGTGGATCACTTTCATATGTATGTGACTGATTGGGGTGCAATTTCTTTTCACTGATATTAATTGTAACTTCTGGTGAACGACTTGTATAAGATCTTGGAGAGAGTGCCTGGCTGTCATCAAATATACTGGAATAGTCAGGAAAGACCATTACCCCCCCCCGTGGAGACTCACGTGACCTTGTCAAAGAATCTGTGGTCAAAGGGCTGTACTCTTTGAAAGTGGAGGGTAATGTAACATCTTGCTCAGGTGACTGTGGTGCGAGATGAGTGATAGGCAGTAAAGGGCTGGAAAAAGCAATCTTCCGCTCAGAGATGTAGGATGTCTTTTCCCTGACTAAGACATGGTCACTGTCTGGACTGACAAAACAGAAATTACAGCACCCATCAGCTGAGTCAAAAGCCATATGACCAGGGCCACCTGTTGTCAGACTGTGTGGTAAATTGGTCTTTGGCACCTTCATTTTGAATGGTTTCACCATGTTGTACATAGCTGTAGAAATAATGGGTTCAGTTGACTGGACATCATCATTATCATCAATGAAAGGTATGTTTTCCGGATACCCATCGCTGTATACTTGAGGATTTATGTTTTCTTCCTTGCTTGACTTGAAAGTTTTGCAGCCCATGTTCACACCAGAAACCTGTGTGACCTTGTCATGGCCGTTCTGTACTTTGAAGATTTGGGCTGTTACCTCATCAGTACACTTCTGAGAGGGCCTGCTTTTTTTAGCTAAGTCTGTCTCATCTTCAGTCATGACCAGAGTTGTTTGGTGGTCCTCTGGCAAGACTAACAGACTAGGGTCAGAGATTCTTCTGACAATGGTTTTAGCTGCGTCTCTATTACCAAGTGAATAGCTAAACTCATCACAAAGCTCACTGAAGTCAGTCTCAGCTTGGTCTGATTCTGATAGGCTCAGACCAAAGTCTCTGATAGATACAGATGACGTCAACTTCAGAATTTCAGGTGATTGCCCTTGCTCATCTTCACAACCACACTGCTTCAATGGTAAAGTTTGGCTGAAGTCTTCTTTGACATGGCACTGAGTGCCACCTTGGAAAGGCCTAAAATGAACTTCACTGCAGCAATCTTGCTGGTCTTTCACTTTGGGGTCATAAACCTGAGTTCCTTGGCTCCCCAATGCTGCTTCTTTTGAAGTGGGAAGCGTACTTACTTGCTCATCTGAGTTGTCATAACTTGTAGGTTCTTGTGTAATTACATCCTCAGAGGTCCACAGGTCAGGATTCAATTCACTGTAACACAAAAAGACAACTAGGTCAAAAAATAAGACTTTGCATGAATATTTATGTCAAAGTCCTAATCTAACAATACTAAAGGGCACACCCAAAAAACAATGGCCGTGTGGCAAGTACCTGCATTCACTCTTTTCTATGTAAGCATGCATACCGGTGGTGGCAGGATTTGGCACTGTTCTCATTCGCTTCATCTGAATGCTGGGAAATACTGACCACCAGAAAAGCAGCAGTTTTGGCTACTTTATGTTTTTATTCCTAAATGTCGTGTCAGGTGTGTGCTATGGGTGTCAGTTGAAGCATGTCAAATTATGTGGTACTATGTTATGCTGGAGATGTGTGTTGCAGATTCAGAAATCCTTTCAAATGAATAATTTACTGTGGGATCTCGAGCTCCTCCAACAGGTCACCGTGCATGCTTTCTGAGTGGGTATGTCCAACAGGCTCTGCCCAGGAAGGAATATCCAGTAGGGAAGCAACTGAGAGGTCCTCTTCAGAAACAGCAGGGGGTGGTCTGCGGTCTGACTCCACCCTTCTCACGATTCTGGGGCTGTCTGCATCCTCTTGCACTGAAGACAGGGCTACAGACACTGAACACACACACACACACACACACACACACACACACACACACACACACACACACACACACACGATGAATAATAGTGCAAGCAAACAAATAGAGCCTGCTGTTAGATAAAGCCTTCAAACTGGTTACTGAATTGAGTGTTTTGAGGTATTACTACCTTCACTATGATCCAGTGTCTTCTCTATCTCTGCATAAGTTCTAGATGTTTGCTCTTGAAGTGACTTGTTCATCTGGGTTTCAATAAGATGGACGATGTCCATGCGGTTGATCTTGGTGAGTCTCTTAATCAGACAGTCCTCTGTGGGAGGATTTGTTAATCATTAATAGACTGTCAATTAACACAACAAAAAATGTATTGTAAAATTGCAAATGTAAGATTACATTGAATCTACAGAATGAATATAGGTCTAATAAATACACAAATTGTTTGATAGATTCAAAATCAGTTCATTCAATTTACAGGCTGTGTTCCCACAATTGCCCAGAGTGCATGAAATGAGATTCTAATAGTGCATTCAGTATCTTCAAACAAATTAGCAATGTTTTTTGGATTTGAAGTATTGTATTAGTAAATGTTGGTAAAAAGTCAACTGAAATCTGCCATGTACCTGTGGCATGTTTGCCTTCCCGCTCAACCCAGCGCTGCAGCAAGGCATGGCTCTGTTCTTGGAGGGAATTAGGATTCTGTGTTCTCACTAATTGGATATCATCCTCACTGAATTCCAGTTCTCTTGCAAGCTCTAAGGTGATAAAACAACGGATGAAAATTTATAAAATCTTAACCCATATTTTGAGTGTTTTCCTGCTAGAAAATGGATACCCCTATGTAACATTTTCCACTATCCCCCCAGTTATGTTCACAAATACATCAGTTCCACTTCAAACAAAATGCACTATATATCGCTTTCCCCTAAATTGAAAACAGAAAGTGATTGCATTATTTTACAGCTTACCAGTCCAGCTGAAGCCAAGAAGATCTGCAATGATAGCTAATGTCTCCTCTTTCCTGTCAGCATCATCCTGCCAATCCACTAAAAAATGCCGTCAAAGCCATACATTAAATCTCAGTAACATGGTCAACAGTTCAATGTGTAAAATACCATTAACTATAGATCTTAAACGTCTTTCACATTGCAGGTACCAGTCATGTAAAATATACGTTGGATACAAGTGTAGATTTAAATTTTATTTTCTCTATTTGTTTTATTGTATGTTATGGGCTGTAATACTCTGAAAATAAATATGGATCTGTGATGTTGATGTGGATGGTAACATAAAGGTTGGATTTGTCACTCTGACATATTCATGGACTATGGCTATTTAGTCACAATTAACACATCGTGTATTTTAATCATTAGTGTAAGCGATGACATTAATGTGTGGATTAAGCAGTGTGCATGATATTATTAGTAAAGCTATATTAGTAGTATAGATAGTGATACAAATACAATAGTATAAGCATCAAAATTTAAAGCTACTACTTCTTTAACCAACGTGGCCATTCAATCTTGAGATTTGCATATACACAATACACAACAAGGATGGAAAAGTAACTTACCAACATGCAAAACATCACACATACACAAACACGCCCACACAAAACAGACAAGAAAACAACGCAAGATGGGGCAAGACATATCACAACACACAAAAACAACACAAAATGACTAATGGTAACACTATATTATCTAAGGAAGAGGAAATGGGTCTTGTTGTCGAGAAGATATAGGAAAGCAAATGCCTATGTAGGTCTGGCCATACCTGGCGTATATTTTGGAGTTTGGTCACCGATGATTCTCTGCATCTGAGTTTCCACCGTGTCATTCCAGGCAGGCCTGGATTCAAATACATCCTCTGTCCCAGAAAACGATTGCACACCCAGCAACAAATTGCCATCAGAATCTGAACTGTGTGAGGCTGGGATGTCATATGTGAAGATAACAGAATCTGGACTCCTGTGACTAGCACTGCTTATATCGTCAGTATCCAAAGAAGACCTAACCGATGTTTCTGTAGTCATGAAGAGTTGGATTTCTTTCCTTTGGGGAGAAGAGGAGGAGATCGTCTGAGCTAGAGGTTTCTGTTGCATCATGACAGGAAGCTTGTAAGGAGAAAGGTTGGATTTATTAGTGCGCTGACTACTGTCAGAATAACTCCTGCTGTCTTTATAAGAGGCCTTACTTGTGTCACTATCGGCCTCAGATCTAGTCCTACGATCCAAAGTTGAGGTATTTTCTGCTTTTCTTTGAACCTGAGCAAGCTCAGATATCTGTGAGTCTTTCATGGTTATTTCATTTTTAATTGTGCTGCATGGTTTGATTGACAAAGGTGGGGGTGAATCCTGATGATATGCTGGGATGCCAGCCTGTGCAGCTGAAAAGGACATCTCAATGACTGAGCACTGGTCTTCTTCATCTTCCTCCTCCTCCTCATCATCAGGAGAGGAGTCTGAGGAATCATGGTCCTGCTCTGAGTACACTGAATGGGCAATAGTAGATGTGTCTGATTGAAGGTCAGCTATGGTAGTGTCGAGATAGTCTAGGCCAAGGTTTTCAAGACTTTCAACCTCACTTTGACTTATGGTTAGTCTTTCCAAAGCACTTGGGGAACAAAGCTGAACCTTTACGGAGCTGCCAAGATCAGCTTCAGAAAGTGGCTTCTCAGTCTCTGACTTGTCACTTGAGGGTGTGATGAAAGTTCTGAGCGTAGGAGTAGGAATTTTCTCATTGGCACCCTGAGTCAGAGATGATTCTGGGATCTCTTGAAGGGTGATATCGGCATTAGAATCACTATTCTCTAAAGTAAAAGACTTTGTTCGACCTTCCCTGGTCTCCTCTGGCACAACTTCATCAACTGGATGTTCCCCTATGTGAAAAAATGCATATCCTTCCCCTTCATCATCAAAGCTTCTTCTTGTCATATCAATAGCCCCCCCTCTGGTCATTTCAAATAGCTTCCCCTCTTGAAACTGAAATGGATCAGGTGTTCTCTCATCACCCTGTGTTTGAACAGTTATTTTATCAGGTGTTCCGTTCTCTGCTTGACAAAGATTAATCTGTTGCTCAACCTCAACCTGCGCATTGACTGCTACATCATTTTCATCCTCACACCCTGGGATAACATTTTTGTGTTCTTTAGTACACACCATAGCCTGAGGTTTACTAACAGAACATGAATCATATGTTAGTGGTGACCCAGTGTCTTTGTCATCATCTGGATGGTGCTCATCTGTCACACAACAGTCAGAGACTGAGAAACAATCACCTTCTAAGGCATCTTTATCTTTCTTTATTTCAGCTTCTCTTTCTGCTAAAAGTGGCACAGACTCCTCACTTACTGGATCAGTTTCCTCCATGTGACTTGCAGTTGAATACAATGAACCATCAACTGATTCAGTGGTTTTTAGTTCTGACTGAATTTCTACCTTCTCCTTAATGCTCAAAGTAATATCTACTGCCTCACCAAGTGTGTGAGTGCTGTCAGTAACACATTTTTTAGAAGTTTTCTGTAGTGTATCTTGTGGTGAAGACTGTATAACTGGGCCAAATTTTAGATCTAGCTGATCATCTTTGTGATCCCCTGTCTCTGACAGTGCAGTGGCATCTAAAGATTTGTCTCTCTTCATTTTAGCCTCCTGTTCCATCTCTTCAAATGTTTTGATCTTTGCGGCCATTTTAAACATCTCCTCTTCTGGGGTGAATTGTTTGTTGGTGGCTTCATCTTCACTGTCATCTGTGTCAAGAGAGTCTTGCCGTATAATTTTGGGATCAGAACGCATGTTACTCTCAGTTACTCCCTTTGCTGAGTAGGGAGTTTTGTCCTTCTTAACTTCACTTTCCATTTGGATGATCTCATAGTTATTTTCTTGCTCATCATGCTGACTGTATGTATGTTGGTCATAAGCAAAACATACTTCTAGCTGGGAGGCATAATCTTCATATACAGCTGTCTTGGCTGGCATCTTAAGTTCTGTGTCTTTTGATTGAGTGGGACTTCCCTCAAGGGAATCTGGACAAGGGGATTCTCTGGTAGGGCTTGGCTCAATTGAATCAGGGGATGTCTTTGAAGATTTATCCTCCATGAGAGGACTTGCCTCTAGCGAATCTCGTTGACATAGCTCTATAGCTGGGTCATCAGTAACCACAGAGTTTAGGTTCTCCAAATCGCCAGGTCGTTGCAGTGTGTTAAAACTATGTGTTAGGTGCAAAAAATCGTGTGTTTTGAGAATTGAATGAGCAGCAACTACACTGACATGCTTATGATCATTCTCAAAGTCACCCATTGTCACATACGACGCACTTAGTGACATTTTTGCCTCACCCTCCTCAGATGAGAAACTCTTGGGACCTTCATTGGAACATGTCTGCCATCCACTTTCCAAAGGTCTATTGTTGCCCACAACATCTAAATGTGTATCCTCTGGTGACATCATCTTATGTTCAAGAGGGAAGGTTGTGTCTTTTGTCAGAATAACTTCTTTGTAGCGCTCATGCATTACCTCCTCTTCTGGGTGGCCTTGTATCAACACTGGCTCTTCCTTTAAATACTGATCTAAGTCACCACTGAGCAGTGACAACATGCCTGACATATCTCTCTCAGTTGTAGACTGGTGTTGCTGTGTCTTTCTCTCAATGCAGACTTCTTGGAATGGTGGCTCCGATACAGGACTTGGTGACAATTCTGTGACTCCAACTATCTCAGTCTGCATGTGTTCATTTGCCTCGACACCTATCTTATCCTCCAAATGACTACTTGTCAGTATAACTTCTTTGAAGTTCTCATGGACTACCTCCTCTTCTGGGTGGCACTGCATCAGCAATGGCTTTTCCTTTAAATACTGATCTATGTCACCACTGAGCAGTGACAACATGCCTGACATATCTCTCTCAGTTGTAGACTGGTGTTGCTGTGTCTTTCTCTCGATACAGACTTCTTGGAATGGTGGCTCCGATACAGGACTTGGTGAAAATTCTGTGACTCCAACTATCTCAGTCTGCATGTGTTCATTTGCCTCGACACCTATCTTATCCTCCAAATGACTACTTGTCAGTATAACTTCTTTGAAGTTCTCATGGACTACCTCCTCTTCTGGGTGGCACTGCATCAGCAATGGCTTTTCCTTTAAATACTGATCTATGTCACCACTGAGCAGTGACAACATGCCTGACATATCTCTCTCAGTTGTAGACTGGTGTTGCTGTGTCTTTCTCTCGATACAGACTTCTTGGAATGGTGGCTCCGATACAGGACTTGGTGAAAATTCTGTGACTCCAACTATCTCAGTCTGCATGTGTTCATTTGCCTCGACACCTATCTTATCCTCCAAATGACTACTTGTCAGTATAACTTCTTTGAAGTTCTCATGGACTACCTCCTCTTCTGGGTGGCACTGCATCAGCAATGGCTCTTCCTTTAAATACTGATCTAAGTCACCACTGAGTAGTGACAACATGCCTGACATATCTTTCTCAGTTGTAGGCTGGTGTTGCTGTGTCTTTCTCTCATTGCAGACTTCTTGGAATGGTGGCTCCGATACAGGACTTGGTGAAAATTCTGTGACTCCAACTATCTCAGTCTGCATGTGTTCATTTGCCTCGACACCTATCTTATCCTCCAAATGACTACTTGCCAGTATAACTTCTTTGAAGTTCTCATGGACTACCTCCTCTTCTGGGTGGCACTGCATCAGCAATGGCTTTTCCTTTAAATACTGATCTAAGTCACCACTGAGTAGTGACAACATGCCTGACATATCTTTCTCAGTTGTAGGCTGGTGTTGCTGTGTCTTTCTCTCAATGCAGACTTCTTGGAATGGTGGCTCTGATACAGGACTTGGTGACAATTCTGTGACTCCAACTATCTCAGTCTGCATGTGTTCACTTGCCTCGACACCTATCTTATCCTCCAAATGACTACTTGTCAGTATAACTTCTTTGAAGTTCTCATGGACTACCTCCTCTTCTGGGTGGCACTGCATCAGCAATGGCTTTTCCTTTAAATACTGATCCAAGTCACTACTGAGCAGTGACAA